TCGAAGAGAAAAGCGGTTTTTTAATATTTCCACTAGGTGTGTTATTCTGTGTCAAATAACAACAAGAACAAGAGAGCTATGCTCAAATATATGGACACGTAGAGTCACATAATTTTGATGACGTCATAGCGAAAAAAGAAGTAATAGCCTTCTGGAGAAAATTTTTATCTTTAACTACTAAAAATTTCAAAGCAATTGGTCCAGTATTCGAAGAGAAAAGCGACTTTTTAAAAACGTGTCAAGCGGTACTGAGTTAGCAGTCAGGCAGCATCTTACCTGTACACTGTAGGCCATATACGGTAATTGATCACAGAACAGTTGTTCCCTTGCAAATTTTATGTTGTTTACACTTTAGGACAGATAATTGATCACAGAACAATTCTTCCCTTTCAAATTTTATGTTGTTTCCAGTAGACTCTCATCAAAATAAACAAATATAGTAGGCTACAAGTGCTACAACGCTTGCATTACTGCACTGGTAGGACCGTGAAAGAATAAGTTACGGTAATTTCATTGTGGTAAGACACCGGTACCGGCACCAGTACCAGTATCGTACTTAGGTACTGAGCTACCAGTACCGGTTAGCAGTCAGCCAGCATCTTACCTGTACACTGTAGGCCATATACGGTAATTGATCACAGAACAGTTGTTCCCTTGCAAATTTTATGTTATTTACACTTTAGGACAGATAATTGATCACAGAACAATTCTTCCCTTTCAAATTTTATGTTGTTTCCAGTAGACTCTCATCAAAATAAACAAATATAGTAGGCTACAAGTGCTACAACGCTTGCATTACTGCACTGGTAGGACCGTGAAAGAATAAGTTACGGTAATTTCATTGTGGTAAGACACCGGTACCGGCACCAGTACCAGTATCGTACTTACGTACTGAGCTACCAGTACCGGTACCGAACCTGTAGGTCTGATATTCCGTTCCGCATACGATAGGCTATAAAACTTGCATTGCAGCATTAGTAATACCGCGGAAGGAATGGGTCAATTTCACTGCGTTACGGCACCGGTATGGCAACTTACCAGTACCGACCTACAGTAGCTGTAGTACTGAGCAAGACAATCGATCGCGAAACCGCTTGAAATAAGTGTAAAACAGTGTTCCCATGAGTAAAAATAAATACCGCGAAATTTTGTATGAAATATCATATCTCATAGGATTCATATAAAATTTAAGAATAAACAAAAGTAATAGCCTTCTAGCGAAAAAATTAATCTTCAACCACTGAAAATTTCAAAGCAATTGGTCCAGTATTCGAAGAGAAAAGCGACTTTTTAAAAACGTGTCAAAGAACAAGAACAACAAGAACAAGAACAACAACAACATAATATTGAAACGATCGTTATGTCCACTACGTGTCCAATAATAAGTTTGGTATGGAATTCTTATTTTTTGCTCTTCTCTATTTAAAATTTATTTAAATAACTTCCTAATCCCGATTAGAAATTTTTCTTATCTCTAATTAGATATCATTTTTTTTACATAGTGTATATAGTTTTTTTTCCATATGTATATCCTGAGAGTGTAATATTACAGAACCTGTGTTATTAATTTATTTATTCATGTGCTTGCTTTGGGTGGTAACCGACTCAGATGACTGTTAATGGTCGTATCGTTACCACCCTGTCATCTACCGAAACTTAATTTTTCTCATTTTGCTATCATATATATATTGTATGTGTTTTCTGGTTTGACCAAAAAATAAAATTCTCTCTCTCTCTATATATATATATATGAATATTAATTTCGCTGAAATAATATGACTTAATCTCATGCGGCAAAATTTTTCTAATACCTTCTTTCAATGACCATGCTGTAAACAGACCTATACGAATAAAAATTTCGCTGAAAATTATGACCTTATTTCATGCAGCAAAATTTTTCCAAGACCCGCTTTTAAATGACCTTGTTGTGAAGTCGTGTCCAACTTAAGAAAAACTAGTACTCATGCATGCGTCCACGACGAAGAATTAATTGTGGGATGCGATACACTGATACACGTGACCCCACAAATGGACCTTTCCCCGAGCAACAACTTCCTTGTTTACTTCGTGGCATTGACTAATCAGCAAGATGCAAAAAGTGACGTAACAAGGCTCCCTTTTCGCATCCTCTCAGACACTTTTCTCACTCAGACAGATTTTCAAGCGTGGTCGTAAACATTACCTCATTTTCGCGTTTTTGAACTAGTTTTCTGTTGTGATTCGAAAACTTTAATATAAATCAGATAATTCAATGATCACTCTGTCTTCGAGGGAGTTTTAATTTAATTGCGGTAATGAAAAATTAGTGTGGAAATAGCCCTGATAAACTAGGCTAAAATTCTGTACCGGTACTTTTGAAAAGCAGATTGTTCTATGCGATGGATCATAATGATGGTTCGAAACACATACCCCATTTTACAGGTGTCAACTCGCAAAAGCACTCTTAAAATAGCCCCGAAAATTTTGCAATGGTGAAGTATGGGAAGAATTTTTCTGGGGTCAAAGGTCGGAGAAAGTCCATTAAATCCTGTGGGTCATAGATATTTACCATATTACGTCTGTATTTACTAAATGTCTGAATAAATTAGGGACTTTCTATTGCACTGCATGATGGTATTCATACAGTGCTGTTGAGATAGAAAAAGACTGAGAAGTAACATTGGAATATAAGCACTTTTTCAGTGTGAACCATTCTCATACCTATCACGACTGAAAAGCAAGATGTGAAGACAATCAGCCTCGCTCAAGCAAATACTAAAATGCAGGATTGTCTTGAATATAAACAAATGTGATTTTGTTTTATATGACTGGATTACATTAGAGAAAATGGTCTATCCAACCAATTTTTAATTTTGAGAACCACCGCGATAGAGAGATTCTTCATTATATTATTAATAAAAATATCAATGGCAGCTTTTATCTAACCTTGTTCGAAGCAAAACGCGTCATCGAGATTTTTTTCGAAGTTGAGAGTTTCACTTGACTTTCGGTAAATTTGTGCTAGATATGGTCTATGAAAAAGCATTGCATTGTGTTATAAAATGTTGCCCGTCCACGTCAGTATTTTTTTACGGTTCCGCTGGAACAGAAAGGTCGATAATACTTATACTTATAATCATTAACCACTGCAACAAAGTTGCCGCTTCCAAACAACCGGCGGCGGCGCTTAAGGCGCACTTTTTCTGATAACTACCGGTAATTGGTTATCGTAACTAAAGTCAAAATTTTTGTCGTTTTTTAGGTTGAGATATTAAGTCCCGTACTGGTCTTTAATAGTAGGTTTCATATGCGAAAAATAAGGAGATAAATTATGCTGTAAGTTTTGAGCTCTAAGCAAGGCAACACGCGGGGTGGATATTAAACAAAGTAGCCAAATATTCAAAAAAGAGATCTGCTTAAAGTCGAAATCCAACATATGAGAGAGAGAGAGAGATTTATTGCCACAAAAACAAAATCAACACTAATATAAACATTAATAGATAATAATACAATGAAGAAAATATTTCATCAGTAATAAACAGCGATTGATTATTGTTTAGTGCGGGTCGATGTGCAGGACCGATTAAGGTCATCTAGGCCAGTGGTTCCCAACCGCCGGTGCCGGTCCGCGAAGCTTTTTTGTCGGTCCGCAAGAGATTTTGTTGTCTTGTTGTTTTTATGCCGTTTCAATCGCTTTACCGTAGACAAAGTTGCGTTGGCTCATTACGCAGTTCTCTTCTGCCGTCATATTACGATGTCTTTCGCGACATGTTGGCGCCGTATTACGCGACATCTTGGCGCCGATCACTCACACTTTTCGCTTTTCCAGCTCCGATTCATCGCGAATGCGCTCCATCAAATCTTGCAAAATTAAGAAGCCTAAAAATCGGCATGCGTGCCTTTTCTGTTCTGCGTGCTTTTCCTGATTAATATGACCATTCATATGAAACGTAATGGATATCTCCTTGTTTAAACTAGAAAACAGTCAAGAACAGTATAATAATCCAGTAAGATATGAACTTGTTGCGACCCCACAGGTGGTCACGCGATGCACGCAAAAAAAAGCATGAGCCGCAGAGATCTTTTCCAGACACAGTAGGATTTTGAGATTGTCGCCAAGTTATCGACGACTTTGTCATTGTAATGCAAATTCATTCCGTTTGAGGCGTCGATTAACTGCAGAGGGATTAATATTATGAACCCAATGAAAAAGAAAAGGCTTGATTAAAATTGTGATTCTTCTTTACAGTCCAGATTGAAAAAGAATTACTTATCACAATTTTAGATATCTCTTGATAACGAATACCCATCGCCAAGTAATCGAGCAATCAAACTGTGGTCCGTCTTTTCAGCCAGTTACTGCGTTATGCGAAAAAACATTCTCATCACTCGATTCAATTAAAACCTCACTTTGATTAAAACGAGGCAAGGAAATCGGCTGTACGCAGCTGCAGAGCTACGTGTTGCAAAAACTTCTTTGCCTCGTTCGCAATCTTGTATTGGAAACGAAACAGCAGCAAAATTCTCACAGAAGTTAATTGTGCATTATTTTAATGTGAGAATTTAATGCGTGCCTTTCTCACGCATAATGGGTGCCCAGCACTGCATTTCATTACGCAAATATATGGTATTATTTTATGTTTCACTCATTTGTAATTTTTGGTCGGCACATTATTTGATAGTTATTCTTCGTGTGAAATGTTTTAAAGTGTGCTTTTTTGTCTAGAAGCATATTGAGTGCCCGACATTGCATTATAAGACGCAAATATATGTTATTCTTTTCTGTTACGGCCATTTCAATTTTTGCCGGTCCGCGAGTACATTTAATCTAATGTTACCGGTCCGCCAGGGTAGAAAGGTTGGGAACCGCTGATCTAGGCTCCCGACCCTTGTGTGAATGCTGTAGTCTATATAAGGTTATCATGGCATAATATAGTAAGTAAATGCTGAAATGCAAATGGGATTAAATAAAATATATATAAGAAAATGAGTTCTGGAGTTTGGAATTAAATACTTATTTTATTCACCCCGGGTCACTGTAAGACTGTATTTATCAATAAAAGTTAGTTTATTAGTTGTAGCACTAAAATAGAAAATGTCGAATTGGGGAGAAGAAGAGAACTGGGCTTCAGCTGCTGATGCCCAAGAAAATCTGTCTGCAAAAGTGAAGGGAATAGAAATTGTTGATAAAAAAGACAATACTCAAACAGATGCGGCAGCTGCTTCACCCACAGATACAAATGCAGCAGGTGAACTACTGAACTAGTCTAAAATAGCCTATTACAGTTTTAAGCACTAGCTTATGATTGTCTGATTGTTGGTGCCTTAATTTCAAATTGTTGGAAACCTTCTTTGTCAGTCAAACTGTCAGTTCAGTATGTAGGGCCTGCTATGTCAGTATGTAAAAAAGATTTAACCCAATATTTCTCATATAATTATGGCATAATTTCTCAGTCAGTGTGTGTGACCTTGCATTGAGCACATATTTTTGTAACTTTATATGAAAAATGAGGATAAAAGGTCATAATTAGCCATTTGATTATGATGTCTCATTCTTCTTCTTCTGGGATAAATATGGCATTCAATTTTAGTTAAATCCTGGCTTTGAATTCAATATGTTATTTGATATATTCACTTGTTTTTTAATATTTATAACCTATTCTTAATAAACAGTATACAAACTATATTCAATGATTATACAAACTTAAATCGATCAAACTCTTTTCAGCTGGGGATGCAAAAAAAGAAGGTCCGGCTGGAGATAAGGAAGAAGTGGAAGAAACAGCATTATCTGCCGAACAAAATTCATTAATGAGAAAACTCATCAGAGACAAACTTGTACAATCAAGTCAGAAATTAGAAGTTCAGCAAAGAGATCCGTCATCACCATTATATTCTGTAAAATCATTTGAACAGTTAAACCTTGCTCCTGAACTGCTTGCAGGCGTCATAGAAATGGGTTTCAACAGGTAAAAAGTTTTTTAAGTTTGAGATAGACACAACTTTGTAAGTCACAGGTCCCGAAAATTAGACTTTTTTGGACAAATTTTACTCATTGTTTTTGATAATTCAGAATGTTAAAATGAGATTTAAAGAGTATCAATATATCTTGACAAACTGTCATCTTTAGAATAGAATTGAAGGTGTCAAAATGTTCATTCAAAAATTATAACCTCAAGAATTTTATTGAATCCGTCATTCAGAAATTGTTCATATATTGCTTTTTAAGATGAAACTTCAAAAGATTAAATTATTTATTATTGAATCTTTTCAGGCCATCAAAAATACAAGAAACAGCTCTCCCTCTTCTACTTGCTAATCCACCAGAGAATATGATTGCTCAATCACAATCCGGAACAGGAAAAACAGCTGCTTTTGTTCTTGCAATGCTTAGTCGTGTCACTGTTGCAAAAGGTTCTGTTAACCACAACATTATGTTTTGCCTACTTTTAATACTTAACTTTACACTGCATTTACAGTTATGCACTGGTATTGTATGCGTAACTAAATAGCTTAATTAATATTGCAAATTCTGTAATTTACACTGATTTAAACATTGTGATATTTCTGATATACTCTTATTTTTTATTATAAGCTTGAATTATATACAGCTTCTTTTTTCTGGTGTCTGCTTAACGTTACCGCTGGACCAGAAAATTCCATAAACAGAGACAATAATGTACCTTCACTGCCAGTTTCCATGAATCAATATACTCACACTGTGATCTGACATAGCTCCCCTGTGATTACTATGTTTAATGGTTCGATGTTGTGCATATTGATGTTTATTAACTGAACAGAGAAAAAAAGTAACACAATTTTTCTGCCCTGCATATTGGTTAGTGATGATGAAAAACCTTAGTAATGCTTAGTGCCAAAAAAAATTGGCATCAACTTATTTGTCAAACAATCGTATAGCCAGAAAATAGCAATAATAATTCTTTATTGAATGATATTGAAATTTACATAACATGAAGATAAAATCATAATTTGAGTCCAAATAACTGAGTCCAATAGGGTTTTGAATCTCAATTTCTGGAAGGTTTCCTGTGGTTTTAAATTGCCAATAAGTTGAAGCTTGTGTTGTCTTGCTAAGCATTAATATGTTTATCTATAGATATGGATGTTTGTCATCTATCTCTTACATAACACTGCATGTTTCAGAATACCCACAATGCTTATGCTTGTCTCCAACTTATGAACTTGCTCTCCAGACTGGGAAAGTTGTTGAAGAAATGGGGAAAAAGTTAAAAAATCTCAGTGTCACATATGCTGTCAGAAACAACAAAGGTAATTTAGTTTTTACAGGAATTTAGTACCCGCAGTATTGTATAATAAACAGGAATGCAAATCAATAGTACAGAATTTGGCGCTCTAGAAGTGTGTTTATCAATATGGAGGTAACTAATTCTGTTCGCCTACTTAATCGAGTTGTGTGAAATTACTGAAACCTGTTGGCTGCGGCCTGCGGGTATATTCACTTGGCTAACACAGACAGTCCCTGAACTTGTAATGGAACCAAAATCGTAATTATTTACACACACTACGGTAGTAACCAGAATGTATATTCACAACTATCACATATTCAATTCATATATCTGAAGTGTCACTCCTGTACATAATCACATTGGCCTAGTAAATATAAGTAATTGTGTACGTCTTTGTATAGAGTCATATCATTAGGCAAAAGGCCCTGAAACAAACCAAAAAAATATATATCGCCAATTTTAGTGGCTCCTGCTACTAACAAGAACATTAAAAAAAAAAATGATTGCTTATATTTTTTAGTGAGACGTGGAGAGAAAATAACTGCACATATTATAATAGGAACGCCCGGAACTACTCAAGACTGGATCAAATTTGAGGTAATGTTATTTTTGTATCTGACTCTTAATAAATACGATTGTGAAATTTGAACAAAATTTTTTTTTGTTTAATGCTGAAATTGTATGCCAGTCAGAGATATCTTTATGTATGGCGAAGCAAACTATTATCTTTTATTCCATTTATCTTCTACAATCTGATCTGTATATGACCTTGGTTAATATTTTAGTAACAAAGACAGTATTATATTTTATAAATGTTGGCTTCTGCATTGAGCTTTTATTTTTAACATTTGTAGTTTTTGTACTATTTTCTTCCATTAGATTGCTTTGGAATTTGTATTATCTGAGCACTGACATTACCCCAATAAATTCTTATTCTTATTTCAGGCTTTTGATCCCAGCAAAATTGAAGTGTTTGTTCTCGATGAAGCAGATGTGATGATTGCAACACAGGGTTTTCAAGATCAATCGATTAGAGTCCATAGGTTTGTAGTAAATTAGAATAATTATGAAATTATGAAAGAACATTATTGATAATCCAAAAAAAGACTATAAAGGGGTTTTTGATGAAGCATTCATTGATATACACGAGTACTCGACTCTTTATCATATGAGGGGAAAATTTTAGTTTTGAGTTAGAATTAATGTAATTAGACTCGATTGCGAGTTTAATGTTTCAAGTTGAAACTAGGCGACTCTGTGTAGTGTAGTGTTTTCAGCGATGTTGAAATCTGTTATACTTATTAATATATAATATCTTCAACTAACCTTTTTCTCAGGAAATTATCAAAGAACTGCCAATTATTACTCTTCTCAGCAACTTACGAAGAAGCAGTCATGAGATTTGCCAGAAAAATTGTAACAGAACCAAACATTATACAGGTACTCCATGTTAGAGCTAAGATCTGAAGCCCGGGCCCGACCCGAATTTCGGGCCTGAAACATCAATCATTACGTTAGGGTCGGGCCTGAAACATCAATCATTACGTTAGGGTCGGGCCTGAAACATCAATCATTACGTTAGGGTCGGGCATGAAATGTCAATCATTACGTTCGCGTCGGGCCTGAAATGTCAATCGTTACGTTCGGGTCAGGCCTTCGGCCTTCGCTATCGCTGACTTTTTTCAATTAAATATATGTCTATAAAAAATATATAATAAAATCATGTGTGGATACTAAACTAAGGAATGCATGTTATAAAAGAAATATTTTGAATAAAACAGAAAAGAAGCTGTAATGGCCCTTTTCTCGACTTTTGATCACCGAAAATATTCTTTCTATACTTTACCATTGCAAATTTTTCGAGGCTTATTTTAAGAATTTCGGGTTTGCTTCGGGCTCGGGCCTGCAAATACAGTTAATTAGTCGGGCCAGGTTGGGTTTAATACCCACGGGCCCGAGTCGGGTCGGGCTGGAATTTTTGGGCCCGATGTTACCTCTACTCCATGTGTAGAAATCACCATACCCTTTGATCAACTTATATCGGAAGTGATTTTATAAGAAATACATTTCAACTATAATATGACTATTCGAAGGTTTCAAGACAGCTGCTATTGTTAAAATTTTTAAAAGAAATTTATATGAAAATATTCAAAAAAAAAGTTGTTATTTAAAGCTGGTATGCAATCCTAGTTTGAAGCAATATTCACCAAAGTATTCCAACAAAAGGTTTACAGGAGTTTAAAAGTCAAAAATATGTTTCTACTCATTATCTCGAAGCAGCTTTTTCAAGTTTTGCTCTTTTGGGTTATAATCCTCATATTGTAATATGTAAAATTTACACAGGTTGTCCAAGAACATAACGCTATGATTTGCATCTTTTCATTTGTAACCATATCTTTATTACATCATGTTTGTCTTTTTCAATAGTTTGCTTGTTGTAGCCATTGCTATATTTGTAAACATACACTCTTTTTATCATTCATAGCTGAGAAGAGAAGAAGAAACATTAGACAATATCAAGCAATATTTCGTCAAATGCACCAGCAAAGAAAAGAAAGCCGATGCTTTGTCTAATATTTACAGTGTACTATCTGTCGGCCAGGTACTGGTGTAATTATTTATAGAAAATTTCCTTCCTGTATTCTGAGCATAATTTACTATTTCAACATCTTCTATCCTTCTGTGATCGGATTAGTCTTTATTGACACTAATATAGGTTTTCTTCTTCAGAACACTTGCAAATTATAATGAATGGTCATATGAAGGTGCAAACTAGGGATAGGATGAGATTCTTATTTGAGTCGAATCCACACATTTTACGACTCAAATTTGAGCATTTAATGTAAAATCTATATAATGTTCAAATAATATGTAAACTGGTAGTCTATCCATCTTGGATTGCCAGATACTTTATCTCTACTTTATAAATTAGGCTAATTATGCCTGGCCAACAGTTATCCAACATTGTAGCCTTGACCCCAGCATGAACTTCACTAATACTTTTCCCAGAGTAGTTATGAGAGAATGATGTGTAATTGTTGAATTTGATTTTTAATTGTTACTCACTGAACTGATTGGCGTTTTAACTTGACCCCTCTCTTTCTGGAGTGTTCACTATTTTAATTTTCATGATTGGTTACAAATTTTTGTATGCAATGTCTTATTTTGTTGAAACTAAATTCCAATCCATTTAATATTTTTTGTCAGGCAATCATATTTTGTGCAACAAGAAAAACTGCGAAATGGCTTGCACAGACGATGTGTGAAGGAGGATTTGTTGTTGCCTTGCTAAGTGGAGAACTGGATGTTGAACAGAGAGCTTCAATTCTACGTCGATTCAAAGCTGCCAAAGAGAGAGTTCTTGTAACAACAAATGTCTGTTCGAGGGGAATTGATGTGGAACAGGTAAATTTTCTAAAATATATTGTATGCTTATTCATATATATATATATATATATATACGCTACCTCATATACTGAAATAATCTGAACACCATCATTTTTTGTCATATTGTTTCAATACAACATTGCATAAAAATAAATAGTAAAACATTGAAAAACAGACCACAGAATTTTCTTCTTTTTTCTCAATTTATTTCCCTTTATGTTAAACAGGTCACACTGGTTGTGAACTTTGACCTTCCTATCGATATGCAAGGAAGAGCGGATTGTGAAACATATTTGCATCGTATAGGTCGCACTGGCAGGTTTGGAAAATCTGGAATTGCAATCAATTTTATCAGCCAAAACAGAGATGAAATGGTTTTGCGAGAAATCGAAAAACATTTTGGTGAGTAGTGTTGATACCAAGGTATTGATTAACCAGGTTTTCAATGTCTAAGGGTACAATATTAATGATGACTTTTTCTGATACTGCTATGATGCAATTCACTAGAAACCATCATGGAAGTGGCACATGACAAGATATTAGAGTAATAAGTCTGATTTGACTAATCTGAATAATAACTGAGCTTAGAACTTAAGTTGAATCTTCAGAGTTTGTGATGTCACAACAGACAACCAAAAGCATGTTTCACAGATAAATTGAGCCACATATACTTGGTTCATGCACCGAAAAGCACATAGACATTTTCTAGGCACATTAGGGACGGTACGCACCTAGTATATTACGAAAGAAGTCAATATTTTCTAACAAGACCCCTGTGATAGATACATTATGTTTTCAGAGAGCCCAAGTGGTCGATTGCATGATTTTGACTAGATATTGTTTGTGCTGATCTTTGGAGGTTCAAGTGGAAAGTACATAGCATAGGTGTCAATTAGTAGAAACAGAATTTGATTGAGACTCAATATAGAATCCTTGCCCCAAAAATATGTGAATTTTTATTGAATCCAAGTTCTGATTCAAATCTTGGCCCATCAAAATATATATATAAAATTCATTTCATTTATCCTGTCCTTTCTTTAAAGAGCACTGGTGATGGGGCCAGGGAAAGATTGTGGAGTAAATGGGTATATATTTATTCCAATAATCGTTTATTGTTTATCAGGGGTTCACTAACCCTTGGTGTCAATTGGCATGGTCTTGTGCATACATCCCGTCTTCAGTATTTATAATTACTAATTCTTTTATATTGCTTTTACGAGACGAATGAACATACATACAGTATATATGTATGTAGCATATGCATATAGCATACTATGAATGAGGGTAATAGAGACTTATTACTGACGAAATGATTGTTTTATTTCAGGAATTAAAGTTCATAACTTGGACACCAATGATTTTGATGATATGGAGAATAAGATTGGGGAAAAGTGAACAGAAATCATGCACACATTTTAGACTTTGTTTTGAAATTTCGTTTTTTGATCAGTTACTACTTGCTGAACTTTTTTATTCAATAAATAAACAATTTCTTTCTCCATTCCAAAATATTCTTCTCTGTTTTACTGCTGTAGCTGAATTCGGTGTTTTGAAATGTTAGTCAGAGAGTGTGAGTTTACAACAGTGTATTTACCATGAGTACTCGATTTTGATAAAAAAATGCAATGTGTATTTTCCGCTCTTATCAAACGACTCGTGCGACTATGGAAGTAAATGTCAGTTTTCCAAATGGAAGCTATTTTTATCAAATGCGGCTCCATTCTCCAAAAAATATATATAACAAGAGAGCTATGCTCAAATATATGGCCTAGTCGGTAGCAAAAAGTCTCTCCTGCACGCTTTAAACGATTGATAAGCTAACTTTAGCAGTTAATTTGAATAAAAAAACGTGTTATTTATAAGTAAATGGTTAACGGCTTTCATATTTTGTATATAAATTTGAAAATCTCGTAATTCTTTACTTTGTAATTTTGTTTTTATTAAATGAAAATATGAGACATCTCCCGAAAATAAGCCCTAGTGGTACTTTGCGGAAGTAACTTGAAATAAGACCCAGTCTTATTTCCGGGGAAACACGGTAACACGACTCAGTTCGCAGGTGCACAGCTGGAAACCACGGGTCTGGGCTGGAGAAAATATGTCTGAGCACTAAAGATAGATAGATAAAATTTCAATTGTTGTCTCATCTTTGGCATCTGCTGATTAACCGATGTTATCGAAATAAACATGGGTGTCAATGGTCAGGGAAACATCCGCCGAATAAAATAAGATTAGCCTTGCTGATGAAGACATGATGGAGAGAACATCACCCTCTTCGTTGCCCTCACCATGGTAAACGGGGATTTGGCGCCACATAGCGGCATAGCTGAAATTCGGCATATCAAAGGACATGCCGCGGAATTCGGCACTGATCAAAGACTTCGGTTGGGCCTGACGAGCGGATGTTTTGAGGTTTTGCGAAACTTGGTTGACTGATTCGTAGTCTCTTTTGTTCCTTTATATAGTTTTTCCCAGCTAGTAAATTAACGAATGATTTTCAAACACACCAGAAAAGTTATAGGTCGTTTTAAAAAATAAGCCAAAGGTCCGTTCGGGCTGCCAAGTCTGAAAGTACCGGTACAGCAGTTCTACCAAGGTGACTCGTGACTGAAAGATTAATGGCATGGATTCATTTTCAAAAATTTAATCAGTATCAACTACAGCAGACTACGTCTAAAACTGTACCGGTACGCTTGAATATAAGTTGATTGTCGAGGGTTGGTTGCTGCATTAGAGGATGACAACGAGACCAAATCAGAGAATTCTGGGATTAGCAGTCGATTAGACGGGACTTGTGAACTTTTTGATTGCATTCCTGTAGATTTATACAGATGTACTGGTATACTCCAGAACTTATATAAATCAGTACAAACTGTATAACTTTATTTGCCTGTGACAGTAGGCTATGGCCTGTTGGTTTATAGTACAGTAGTATTACAGTATTATCATATTTGTATGTAGTCGCAACAATTAAAACTGAAAGAAGCTATTATGACTCAGAAATAATAATATAGTCCTGTAGACTAGTCTATTATGATATTATTATATGCAGATATGAGAAACGGTTCATGTCTGTATAAAAATACAAATTTTCATGATATTGTTCAGATCATTCTAATATCATGCTATTGCTTATATGTGAACTTTAGTATAAAATATCAAATGAAAATGGTTGAAAAATAATTACAAAATGCACCAAGTCAAGCAGCATGAATAACTTTGGGGTACAGTCGTTTTTACAAGGCCATAACTTCACAAAGCCATATGCAAGACCCCCTGCCATTGGAGAAGAAAATGAGGTCACATCTGTTGATGGACGTATGTCAACACATAGCAGTGTGAGTGGGAAATCCGAACTGTCGACTGCAACACCCAGGTATATTTCATAAGTTCTTTTTATTTTATCGATACATTCTGAGTCCTCAAGTTGTATGTTTGTGTTTTATTTAGTCTTGTTTGATAAATACAATTTAATTCTAAAAGTTCATTCTGGAAAGCAATTGACTACGTAGATTAGTATATGTATCATTCTTCGCTCATTTCTCGAAGTTTTAAACCTAACTATTCTGAAATTTGATTTTTTTTTCAGGCGAACTGACATAGATCTTGGATTTGAACCAGAAGGAAGCGCTTCACCTCTTCCTACTTGTGATCGATGGAGATCATCACTTCACAATATGTTGGAAGATAGCGAAGGAATTAGATTATTCAAAATATTTCTTGCTGATAGCAAAAGACAAGAATTATTAAATTGTTGGTTAGCTTGTAAAGGATTCAGAGACTTTGGTACAAAAAATAATTATTCAAATAATTCTTCGGCTGCTTCATCAACAACGGGACCTTTGACAGCCCAAAGAACTCAGTTTGATGCTGTAACTAGGTGAAAATTATTCTATTGGTAATAGTTTTGAAAGTATATAACAGAAATATTGAACTTACTCGAGCACTGTAATCCACTGGCTCTCAACCTTTATCTCTTGTGGCCTATTTTCAGCGTCAAACGAAATCTCAGGCTCACAAAACCTTCGAGTATCTTAATAAATGTTTTTATTTGAACATTAACAATACGGTAAAAGTGTCAATAACAAAACTAATCCATGTCTATTTATCAACTTGTCAATTTGAACTACCAAATGAGGGTTCAACCTCGAGCATAAATCACCTCTTTTTTTTTCAATTTGTACTTGATGTTTCCTTGGGATCTACTGTAGGCTCAATGAGCACTTAAGGCCTATTTTGAAAATCTGGTTGAATTGAATTGTAGTTTTCTATTGTAAGCATATCTACTGGATCCCAATTTAATGTCTATGCAATTGTCCAATACTATTTCAAAATGGATTACCAGCTATTTTCTTGTACAGATTGTGCATCATTGCTAGTTTTGTATTCATGCATTTGTTGATTATATTTTCAGAGGAAAACTTGCAAAGACGATTTTCAATACTTACTTGAAGAAAGATAAATGCCATGCAGTGTCAAGTATCATAAGAGATGCGACACGACAGTATATTTGCAAACAAATAAAGAATGCATTGCAGGTAAGTTTTTTTACAACATGAATATATAGTATAAGTAATAATTGTATGGTAATAATGAATATCTGAATTTTGACATTGATTCCCAGCTTAAATTGTTCTATCAGTATCAGATATAAACTAGACACATCACTTTTTGGTTGTTAACTGTGCCTTTCAATAGTTTGTGTTATGATTTTTGATAGAATTGAAACCATGTTAATGAATGTCAATGAACACACTATGTATTTATGTTTAATATATAATATTAAGGTGGACCGTTATCAAAACCATGACAAAGATATATGGTTTAGGGCGGGTGTGCAACAAGCGGACCATGACCCGGTCTACTAAGCCATGTAGTTAGGCTTTTGTGAACAATCTGATTTTCCTAATTAAGCTTACAATCATATTTCGAAAATTTATGTTTAAAAGGCGCTCATATGGGTAAAATACATAATGTTTTATTGCGCTTGTCAGTTGTCACTGCGTTTAATCTTTTCTGGTGCTAAATAGAAAAACTAAATTTTGTGTGGTCCAGGTAGATGTATGAAGTTTGTTTTATGGCCCACTGCCAAAAAATGTAGCACACCCCTGGTTTAGGAAAGAGTTTGAGTTACGTTCTTGTTATGCACATTGTTTGAAAAAACAAATGGCTGGGTTTTGGTCAGTCCAATTTCCAACTCAAGAGCTGATGTTTTCATTGGATGTAAACTGTACAGTACACTGCCCTGTTAGTCATTGTTCTTGTAGAAAAGTTTTCTCCAACAATGCTTCTTTTTTTAGGCGCAGAAAAATATGTCTTGTTCTGTTGAACTAGACGCTTCTCTGTTCGACCAAGCTCAAAACGAAATTGAATCTAATATTGAAGAAAATTCATATATTTCATTCTTAAAAAGCGAACTTTTTCAAAATTATGCTGCACAATGTGAAAATAAACCCAGTAAACAAAGCCCTCAAAATGCATCTACACTTCATCATTCCGAAAACAAGGTGAGGTCTTAATTTTGTGCAATTTTCCATGTCAAAAAGTGCTTCTCCACAGATTGAACTTGCCTGTCACTGTTTCTCCATGTATCGCATTTTGATTACTTGCAATCTGATGTAACTTGAGATGATTTATATAGTTGGTTCCTTATGATACTTAAAATTCATGTGAAGCCTGATTATTTTAACCTATAGCCGACATCTGTCTTTTATTTCAAAATTGTCTTCAGAGTGCACCATCGAATGCTCCTCAAGCTGCTCCAACTGAATTGACGGTACCTGAGGGCAGATATGGATATTTACCAAGACTGGATGAGAATCGAGAATGGTCTTTGCCACCTGTCCAACCAAAGTAAGAATTTTTGCTATTCATTATGATCATTAGCTATTAATCATCCTAGAGCAGCTGTTCTCAAACTATGGGTCGTGAAAAATTAAATTGAATTTAAATTCTGATCTGTGAAAGTTTCCTTTTTACGATCTTCTCAAAGGAACACAGATTTGCTACACAAAGAAAGATCATGTGGCCTTTTTACGCATAGTAGTTTTGTACACTGTACCAGTGGCGCAACCAGGCCGTTTTCAACGGGGGGGGTCCAACCGGAATTTACACAGTGCAACCACGACGTAAGTCGCAACGCCACTGGGTGTCGCCCCGCTGACCACGATAAATTGCTCATGGTTAAAAGGGAAACGCCATCAATTAAATCCCAGCCTTTCGCTTACCTTGCACTCGTTCATTAACGGCGCTTCGCTATGTCTTGCACCTCGTGGGTAGCAAAACGCCGTTCATTACATTCCAGCGAATTGCTAACGAAAAGCTGTTAATTATTTTCAACGTTTTCCTCGCTTTGCGCCTCGTGGATAGTGAAACACGGCTTGAATAAATTCCAGTGTTTCCCTCGTGCCGCGCCTTGCTCGTTGGGTGAATTCGTCAAGACTAAAAACAAAATGCACTTCTTGCGAATGGACCTTTTCCCGACCCTAACCCCGGAAAAATTCTAAACTAAACTGAAGCTCACCGGAAGACATAATGACAATTAAAATAATTGATTTACAACTAATTTTTGGAAACACAACTAAAAACTGACTAATTTAATGCAGGGATGTCCAAATCGAATTTAAATTCAAATATCGCAAACTTCAAATACTGTTTTTTCGTGTTTATAATAATCCCAAATATGGCGCACATATCCTAGGCGTCGTCGTCCATGTGTGGTTCGGCAATATATTACAGCTGACATGAAAGAATTTCGATAAACGCCGACTTGAAGAACTTATAAGACTTCCGAGGACGTTTTTGATTGAAAATATTTTCTTATCGGGTATTTTAACTTAGGTAGTCGAGATGGTTTAGGCGTCCTCGGCAAATTGTGTCTTAATTAGTTGTTTTCATCCTCAGTTTCGATAGTGACCGAACATAACAGGAAATTTTTTCATTTCTTCTAATTTAGCGCGTATAAAATAGCTCTTAAATAGTATTTAATATCTATCGCGGATTTCGTCGGCATCCGGCATTGATAACAACATCAGTTCAGTTAAAGTTAGCGGTATTCATTTACAAACAAAAATACATAACAGCCGACATGAAATATTCAAATCAGCGCAGAATTCAATAATAAAACACGTTTTATGGTCTTAATATGCACATAGAAAGAAGAAAGGACAGAGAAATAACGACTAAAAACTAAGAACGGTATGGTATGTTTGTGTACTTTTGTTTACCATCGTCATCATAATCAAATTAGTTCAACCCGATTCCCAAATTTCCGTCCGCCAATAATGGAGAATGAAGATGGAAAAACGTGTTTTACTTTTTGAGTCAGCGTTGATCTAAATTTTTCATGTTATGTGTTATAATTTTTTGATTATAAACCAATACCTCCAACTTAAAATGAACGATATTGTTATCAACGACGTCAGGACTCGGGATAACGATAAAATCTCCGATAGAAACCAAATAATATTTAAAAGCTATTTTATAGATTGCGAGAAATTAAAAAATTTGACTGAATTGAAATATACGATAACAAATGTAAAAAAATTTCAACCAAAAACGTCCTCGACGTCTTATAAGCACTTCAAGTCAGAGTTTATTGAAAACCTTTCACGACGACTGTTAGTTATTGCCGTGCCACACATGGCTGCTTTCGATTGCGATAAAAAATGAAATAATTGTGAAATGTTTTCAAATCAGAACGTGGACGGGGGGTAGGATGTTTACGGCGTTTTCGGTTTTCGGCCATTCATATGTAGAGAATCTTAGGTTATTCGAAGCAATATTTTTCCGAAAATAATTTTCGTATCCAGATTTTCAGAGTTTCTACTGCATTATTATAACATGAAGACGGGCGGCGTTACATTGCGTCAAGATGATGAAGCACGAGAGTATTCGTCACAAGAGAGAGAGAGATAGCATTATGCTATTGTCGCTTTCAATTCGCATCGACAGCGCGCGATTTCTACTTTTGAGATAACATATCTCATTTTCGAATACAAACATATACGCGGGGATAGCGATTATTACGTAACTATCAGCAAAAAGGTATGATTGAAGTCGGGCGGTGTTAAATTACGTCGACGTGATAAAGCACTGGAAAAAAGTAGTTTTCACCGGATTGTTATGACCGTGGAACGACGTTGTTTTAACATAGAACAATAATAAAAAAAACGAAATTCAAACGGGGGGACACGACCCCCCGGTCTTATTTTCGAGGAAACACGATAGTTTTGCGATGATTAGCCATTGCTGTGTTCTGTGTTATGTCATAAAAAGTTAAATGGGTCGCCATAAGCTGTGGTAATAAATAGTGGGTCGCAACTCTAAAAGTTTGGGAACCACTGTCCTAGAGTGAACAGGATTGATCCAAATTCAATTATATTCAATGTGCATGTGCTGGTGGTTGTAGCGTTAGACTTAACCCTGTTGGCTTCGCAGGTTCAAATGCCATGCCCACCTCACCCAGGGTTTGAAAAATGGGGTAGGTAATCCGAGCTGCTTATCCTCCTAAAAACAATATCCTCTTTCACATCATTAGATATAGGTGGCTGCTGTTAGGACCTTGTTTGAAGTGAGAGGTGTGATATTAGCAATGGTATAAACGAGAATATCGGTCAGAGACCGAAGACTTATCGATCGAAAGTTAGGGGATCCCCAAAACAGCGCTCTTACGCCATAGTGACACCTTGTGGTCCCATTACTAATTAATTAATAACTTGCTAATTATACGACATAATTCGCCCCGAAATCAATAGGCTTCTGGTCCGAGATATGATGGATACACATGCAAAATCTGAAGCAGATTCAATCTCGCTTTCGTGAGATATCGCTGTGCATCTGAAAGACAGACAGACAGACAAATACCTATCAACGTACTTACCGATTAAAATCTATAAGTAAAAAGCAGTATACCAGGGGATTTGTTTGTTATTTATTTATGCATGAAAAAGTTACCGTATGTTCTATGAGTTTATGTGCCAGTCCATAAATAAATATTTTTTCAAATGAAGTTATTCTAAGAAGGATACAAAGTGATTTGGAAATGTTTCGGATTTGTGTTGAACTAGATCGAAAAAACAATAACAATATTGCAGTTTCTAACTATCAGCGCCCCTACTTTGGTAAATATTAAGTTTGGTTCATTATCTTGACTTCACTAATTCAAATTATTTTTTATATTCAGTGATATTCATATTCAGAGGCAAAAGATAAAGACCAGACATTGAATTCTTCAAGGCAGGAGGAGTGGAACAGCATCACTTGCACGTGTTGTAATGGAAAGGAATAGAGCTGCTTCACAGTATGAACTATATTCAAATATGACGGACAGTCTTGACCAGGTATGTGACGGTATGTGCAATATTCACATGCCAATAAAAATGTTTTTTCTGATAAGAGTTTGGAGGAAAAATAGTAATTTTTTCTTTGTGAAGTTTGTTTCCATTAGAGGTGTATATAGACCAGGGGAGACCAACCGGAGGGCTGTGGCCCACCAAGGGCAACTGCGCTTCAGTTAGAGGGGGGGGGGGCAATTTAGTATGGTTTATGGAGAAATCTAGAATAGGCTATATGTAATTTACATTGAAATAAATACAAAGAAGACTTCAGCTAGCAGTTTTACTACCGGTTCAAGTGTTATCTAATCCCATTTCCCCACCCCTCCCCAGTTGTAAAATATTGTGTAGGCAATGCAAAACCGGCAATATTCTGTTCATTCAAAATAATAGTAACTTCTTAAATATTGATGGCTGCCTGTGCAGGACCTTTTTTGGAGCAATCATGTGTAAATATGCTTTGTATAAAAATTACGTTTATTTCAGAAAGTAAAGTTCGTGAGTCTGGTGCATATGTATATCATCATTAACCTATATCTAAGTTTTAACTTCTGTGACATTTTAGAACAATCCTGCTTATCCTTATATTGCTGCTCCTGGTGCCACGAAATACTATGTACCTCCTGCTTCTGCAAATGCTAGCGACAATGCCTCATCTGATGCTACTTCAGACTCTTTATCCATGACTGATGGAAGTGTCGATCTTGACGGAAGTTCTGCGTATTCATCAAAGAAAAGTATTTTTTTTATCTTATTTTTACATGTATGTTCAGTCGTGTGTTTATTATAATATAATAAAATTATGACTCAACAAAAAAAGCAAAATATGACAGAACAAATAGGACAAAGATTTGTCCCAGCAGAAAGACATAATGTTTTGTCTTTCTGCTATGTCTTTGTCCTATTCGTTCTGTCATATTTTGCTTTTTTTGTTGAGTCATAATTTTAATATGCTATTTGCTGAGCCATGTTCTGTCCTATTTTGCTTTTTTGTTGTGTCATGATTTCGATATGCTGATTGGCTGAGCCAGTTCTGTCCTATTTTGCTTTTTTGTTGAGTCGTGATTTTGATATTTGCTGATTATGTATTTACATTTAGATAAAAAAAGAATGATGAGATTTCAACTCCGTAAAAATCCAATGATACATTATCCACCTGAGTTTGTGCCACTGAACAGAAGGTAAATAATTTAAGGCAAATTTATAATGCCTCTCACTTCAATCAAACAAAATATTGAATATATTCTATATACATGTTCAACATAGAAGCATAAAATACATAAAACATAAAATACACGTTTATTAGATGAGTTTGAATTTGAAAATGCAGGAAAGTTACTTAAACAACAGAAATTGAATGAAGGCATTTTTTGGTTAAATTGTGGCACTCCAAATAAAAATTATACAAAGGTAACCATTCTAAATTACTTCTAAAATGAAGAATTGAAGACATCGCATGTAATTCATTTGAAATTGAATAAAGTTTTTTTTATTTCATTTGGTCATCTCTGATTGTCTCACATGTCAAGTAGGAAAAATTATTGAAAAGAATTTACTTGATGTCGTATGAAATGAAATGTTTCTGTGAATTTAATTCTAGTAATAATCTTAAAGCCATCTTTATAATAACAGGTGTCATTACAAGCAAAATCAGGCTACACTTGCCACTGAAAAGCCTAAAGAATTTTTTGCACAGTTAAAAGAAAAACTGGAGAAAGTTGAGGAAGAACAGAGAAGAAGGGAAGTATTAGAAGCAGCAAATGCGGACAATGTTGAAGATATTTTAGACAGTCACATCGAACGAGTAATGAAAACTCCAATCGCTGTTAATAGCCCCCATAGGAATGAGTCCCCACCTCCCGCAGTCGCTGCCCAAATGAGACAACGCTCTGCTAACTATCAAACAATAAATTTTCCACAAGATGTACCTTTGGACAGTAAAATTCATCAACGTGGTTATCCTAAAGATGAATTTGAGGTTTTGTCACAGTCTGACAGAGTTCCAGCCATAGAACATCCTGGTATGCTACAGAAGAAGAATGATACTCTTAAGAGAAGAAAAGAGGTTGCAGTTGGAATGGCACCTAATGAAGTTCCAGATGTTTTAGAAGTTCCTGTATGTATTTTGATTTCTTATGCTTTGCGTATGTTTATCTGTATCAGTAAATTGTATAAACGTTACGAGATAGACCACACAACTAAATCATGATTGTGGGATATGTACCATTGACAAAAAGAAAGACATTTAGATAGCTCCAGCATAAATTCGAATGAATGAAAGTTATAGCTTTAATTAGTCGTACATGAATAATGCTATCCAGAAGCCACTGCACTGTATCAGGGGAAAATGTGTATTTTTAGGTGCAGTATCTAATATTTTGGGAAATGTGTTTATAACAATTGTGATTAATATGGATCTACTACAAATTTGTTATGTCGCTTAAAAACCAAATAATTCGGCTTCTATATTTTTAATTTTCAAGCCTTCAAAAGGAATGACTTGACCTATTTTGATGAACCTCGTTTGAGAAATCCTAATCCAAATTACGAAAAAATAGTTATTTCTGGAAGATAAGCTTGAAATAAAAATATCGAATGAGCAAGACAATGTCTACTACAGCCACAAAAAATTTCCCATCGAAAATGGCATTTTAATAACAACTTCTAAACCCCATTATTTGTTCCAGGCACAACCTGTTGATAAGAACTTCATGATTTCCCTATGGGTGAAAGATTCGTCGAACGCCAACCAAATACCACCTCAAGAGTAAGATTTCTTGTATTTTATTTTTTGTTCAATTTCATAATTCATCATAGTATAAAACATCTGAGTGCTGTAATGGAAATAATGACTTGGACAATTTTTTCACCCAACTCAAATTCTATTAAAGGCTGACATAACTAGTTAATAATCAATCCTGCTTGATTTATGACTTCCTTCATTCCCCTTATGTTGTCTTAGTATTTTGTATGACTACTCACCTGAGAAATTGGTCTTCGGGCAGATGTTGCAAATGACCCAACTTTTACCTTTGGAAGTGTGTGTACCAATATGGGGGGAACTAAGTTTGTTCACCTATTTTACATCAAGTTGTGTAAAGGGAGTGAAACCTATGGGCAAGGCGCAAGGGATATATTCACTTGGCCAACACAGACAGTCCCCGAACTCGTAATAGAACTGAAATAAGGATAATTAGAACAAAATTATGACCTAACCCTAATCTGGTACGCAAGCTACGGGAGTACCCAACTTTTTATTAAAATTTAACTCTTTTTCGGATTTGGTAGTTCTCACTTTATTCTAACCCATTTATTTAGTAAAAATTATTTAATTCATATGAATGATTTTTCCAAAAATTTACTTCATTTTTTATTATCTGCTTTGCCATATTTATGTCGGAAAGCTATGTAGCAATATCTGTAAAAATTTATTCGATTTTTTAATTTTCAGACCCAATTCTGTACCGCGAAGAGGCAGTGTTTCAAGGCAAAACCATGCACATCATCGTTACATAAATCGAGGAAGCAGTTTCCCAATTCACAGTCTGCAGTCTGTTGTCACAAACAGAGCAAATCAGTTTCAAATGCAGCCATTGCAGCCTATATCGCAAGACCAAATGATGCCTCCGTTAGAGCAACCAGATGCCAACACGACGATCGAAGAAGTGAAACGGCGTTTAATACAAGAAACAGAACAGGGGGAACCTATGCATGGACTCAGTTTGGGTAACAAAAGTGGCCTGCACCAAGTTAACCAATACCCTTCGTCATTCAGTGGATCTGTAATGGGGCCTTCTTTACTTGGATCAGCTCGTAAACAGAGGGACACTGAAACGAGATACCCTAATCAAGGGATGCCGCATTATAACTATGCCCAGAGTTCATCATCATCTGGGGCTGCACATTGCATTCCTCCCAAGCTTCTGCAGCAAAGTCTCAAAGCGGGAAAACAATATGTATTTATTCCATGCCTCACGAAGAGATGGCATATAAAATACAAATACCTCACAGTCCAGTAACATTAGAACAGTTCAAAACTTATGTAGGAAGGAAAGGAAATTATAAATATTTTTTTAAGCAATATTCTGAAGAAATGAGTGGTCCTGTATACTTTGAAGTTTCTAAAGATAACGATGTGCTTCCTTTATGGGAAAAAGCTGTTGTCGCTAAAGTACAAGAGTATGATTTGTAAACATTTTTAAGTTGGGATAAACAGTCCACTGTTTGGTAAAGTGAATACACATTGTATATTTTTGATGAATTGTAATTCAGTTGCTAAAAAAGAAGCTTTCATAGCTTGGAGAATCGTCGCAATGGTGAAACCAAGGGTGCCCATATCCACCAAAATAATTCAGTACTCTGGGATTCTGATTTCATTTTAAATTATCTGTATTGGCCAATTTTACAGCGAAGTCATCATATGGTTATTGGTTGATATTAGTTGTGTTAGTAAATCCATATGCACTGATGCAAGGACACTATGGCAAGAATGAAAATTTCCACATTGAGTGAATAATTGTGTTGTGGTGACATGAGCGGTCATTGTTGTCTATTGAAGTCTCACTTCGGCCAGACGAAATGTTACAGAATAAAATTTTGGACGTTTCATGCAAGACCTCTAAATCCCTCAATCTAACCATGACATATGTTGCCAAATTTGTGCTTGTTATTATGGTGTATCCACAAAATTAGCTTTAAATTTAATTGGAAAATATATTTTTCTTTAGAGCCTTATCCTATTAGAACTAAATTTCTTGGACATCCTTAAATGAAATGAAACACAATGTCAGTTGGTAAATTTTGATCCATTAGTTGTCAAGCTAAGTGTATGTGAATTGAAGTTATTCACCAATCTAACTCAACTCATTATTTTGTTAAAAATTATTTCAATGCATCTATTTGGAATGTGTATCTGCTTTGCTATTTTCATACACAGCCTGATGTTATGATTTGATCGTGTTGAGACAATTGTTACTGTATATATTTAAGCTGTCTTATTGGCTTTTCAGGCCATCTTTTACCATCACTTCAAGTTGCAATTGGTTCCTCGAGGCATTTCGGTGAAAGCAGATTAATTTGCTTTGATGACCAGTCGAATGATTCTGCCCAATTCATATTTTATGTTCATAAGTGGTGCAATTGTTTTCAAAGTTTTATTTATTACTATATCTTTGCTTTGGCTGTCTGTTTTCTTTGTTTCTGTACTTTTGAAAAAAAAAACATTTATGCCTCACTAACTTTTTGGCTTAATGTATCCTTTACATGCTAACTGCTGTTCGTAAATAATATTCCTACAAGGTGCTAATTTTATGCTTATTTCTACATTTATTCAAGTTACAAAATTTTTTTTTCACGTTATTCGGGACCATATGTTGTATTTTGTGTTACTCTGTAAAAATCTGGTAATACTGATTCATTATTAAATTTGGAATTGATGAAACATTATACCTCCCCGAAGCTTCCAGAAGCGTTGAATTGGCCTTTGAAATATTTGATTGTGTCGAATTATCGTTTTTTTCTGTGTGCATGCTCTCAGTTAAGCATTCCATTAGCAGTCTAAAAGCAAGAATTAGCTCCATGGAGAAATAAAATTTTAACAATTTGAATAGGAATAAAATCTTTATTTTAAAAGATTTTTTAATGGTAGTTTTCGTAATTATTATTCAAGCGAGAGCTGTTTTATAAATATATGAAATTTTAGGTTTTCACATTTTTCCCAGTCGAATGTTTTACATTCTAGGTGATGTGGGATTGGGATGAACAATTTATGGAAATATCACATTGTCTACGAATTGATCAAACTATAAGTTCAAAGACACTTTCAAAGACCTAAATATGAAAGTAAATTGCTCATCAATATTGTAAATTACCTTCCTTTATCAAATAACATCAATTCCAACAAATAAAGTTTATTTTCATTGTTTTTATGATTGGACTGGACTCATTGCCGGCATCTGAAAGTATTCGATTCTGATGTTTTATCTCACCAACAGACTCACCTTCGGTCTATTATTGCTTCCTTGTCTGGTAATGCCATTTTGTGTTATTGACTATTTTATGGAATGTGTAAACATTGCAATGTATAAAGAAATAGATACACACCTTTACCAGTGCCTCAAGTTTGTTTAAACTTAAGGACACCTTAACGACGCCATTGCCTGTTTTTTATTCTTTTTGTTGTTGTTCCTTTATTTTCACCTCAGCACTTTTTATTACAATGAATAACTTACAACTATGTCTTGCATGTTTCTGTTAGGGATTTTGAAAGTAGACAAATAAGCATTTTTATTTTTATCTTGAATGGAGTTCGCAATGGGTAATACATTTTCCCTTCCCGAATACCCCGAATTTGATTGATAGATATTGCAACTCCCCTACCTACGCAGCCCTGAAAAGATTGTTATTATACTTCAATAGAATGTAAAATGCGACGATGAGACTGGTTGGAAAAATTGAGATTTTAACGGCGGCTCGTAGTTAAATTTAGCTCGATAGATACTTTGTTTCCATTTGTTCCATTGCAAAACCGCTCTGCAATTGTCTGATATTTTGAAGTACACCGACAGTTTTGTTGGGTGTCCAAACGTTAGAAACGCGCTTAACTGCCTATTAGCTTCGTGAGAAATGCGGATTATAACCGAAGCACATTCATTTGTCCCATGAAAAGCTAACTAACGAGTTATAAAAACCTGCATACCATATTTCCCGGCTATTAAGTGGCTTTACTGTACTCCACTATTTGGGGGGGCGTCTTATTCGACGACTATGCTCATTTTATTTTTTCTGGGGTCGGCTTATTGTTGGCACGAGTCTTTTAAAACATGATTTAAAAGCTTCATATCTAGATTGATATATTCTATAATGCCGTCGCCAAGTGTCTGCCAATCAAGATTATTTAATTGACTTTGTAATGACAGCTATCATTTGTCTTATTCCTTTTAAAAACTTGGTGCCATGAAACACTCCCTGTTTATGCCTGATATGGGTACTTCAAAAATATAACGGCTACCACGAGATATAGTGATTGATTTATGACCCTTCGGTTCTGCCGATGCAGGGAAAAACGACACCAGACTGGAAAACACAGCTGTTAACTGACCAACCCATGGACGCACAGTGCAGTACTTATCACACCATATTCATTGGTTATTTCAACGTTCCAGTTACTGGATTGTTCAAAATGATAAAATTACCTTTTTATTGTTAAGAAACACTGCTGTGAGTATTATTCTACTGGAAACAAACATGACCTAGTTCTAACCATATAAAATTATTGATACATAATATTCATTGGTTATTTCAACGTTCCAGTTACTGGATTGTTCAAAATGATAAAATTACCCTTTTATTGTTAAGAATCACTGCTGTGAGTATTATTCTACTGGAAACAAACATGTCCTAGTTCTAACCATATAAAATTATTGATACATAATAGTGCTTAACTGACCAACAGAGAAGCAATTTTTCCGCCTGTCTAATTGGAGGGCTGTATGGTAAACCCCTCTGTTTCAGTGCTAAAAATAGGCTTTGTTTTATTTGCCGGATAGACTTATTCGTCGGAAAATACGGTATAATGTATTTCGAAATATTTTTTGGTTGAGCATTATTACCAGCAAGGCTTTCAACGGACAGATATATATATGCTATATTGGGGACTTTCAGTTTATTATTGAAAAGCCTAAGCGAACTGACGAAGCTTTCATTCAGGAGACGTTTTGCTCGCTCTCCAAAAATCTTTATTTTATATTCGCGTGTTGTGTAAAGTAGACTCCAAGTCAAACTGTGAATGACTCAAAATTATCAACGAAAATCGATTTCCACAATAGTAGGCAGGTGGTCATAGCGTCCTGGTTCTCCGTACCGTTTTTTTTTTTCATTGTTTGTTTATGTAGTCCCTACAGACACATAATATTTATTAAATCGAAGCACAGGGCGATTTTCATCTGAATAATAAAAAAACACGAGATGATCACAAGTAATAGTTTATGTAACACCAGGGGTTTTGACTTGAGGATGTAGAAATCATAGAGGCTATCGGATTTGTACCAATTGGGCCTCTTTATTGTTTTAAAATATTGATGATTTTAAAGTTCTTCTCTCAAATTGTACTTCTGTTTTATATGGACCGTTTTGTCTTCCTCATATTTTTGGTCTTCCAGAATGTCAAATTCTCCATCTTCGAGAAATTTCATTAGCGCCGGACCGTCCTTTTTCTCTGGCCTATGGGGTAAATCGGAATACTGTGGTGCCCAATAATAAATCCAGTTCTCCAAAGCATTCCAAATGTCATCTTCCGTAATATTTACTTATAATACTTGTTTTTCCACTCGATAACTTATCGAAAATCTGTATGACGGGTAAAAGCAAAGGTTTGAATAATTTGAATATCTTGTATATACGGTATATTAAAATAAGTACACAATAAAATTCCATTTTCGCCATTAACCTAAATATATATGAATAAGGGTAATGGGTAGAATTATTTAATAAGACATTTTTCACAAATCTTGTTTTTTACTTATGTATGCAAATGTAATGTATGTATAAATTGAAACAAGGCGGTAACATTTCGACGCCACCGTTGTCAAATCTTATAATGCCGTTATTGCTTCTTTCGGCAGTTACAAATAAGCCACGTCAGTATTTACTTTAATAAGTAAACAGCTCGCGGAGCTCTTAGGTTTCTCTCACGGAGTTCGGGGCTCCGTATAGGGCACTTTGAAAATCTTTGCTGTAAAATACGTATTGTTTTAGAACTATCTTTGGTTTGTAAAATTGCTTCAACTGTCGCATCAAACAACGCCTTACGCCGTAGGTTTAGATAGTTTCATTCGCATTCGAGTTAACGTGCGTACCCTTGCTTAAAATATATTCCCTAAAAATAAATCGTCAATCACTACCTCGTCTCCAAATTCTTCGGTGCCACCAAGTAGCTTATATTTGCTGATCCACAAGTCTCTGTCTATGGAATCGTATTCGTGCAAATAATAATGAAGAGCTGCCCATACGTTTTCAAAAGATATAATAGAGTATTCAAATTTATAGCTGTTGGATGGCTCGTACATGGATACCTAAATATAGTTTGGTTAATATATATAAATCAAAAATCACTCAAAACTGTTTTGTAAATAAGTAAATCTAAATAATATGAGATGAATACCTCGTCGCCAATAAGCCTCAACTCATCAATTGTTAGCGCTGCAATTTCTTTATTCGATATATATCCGTCTTTATTTTTATCCATGATTAGAAATGCCTGAAATTATTGCTAAAATAGTATTATTACAAATCTAAATAATATTCATCGTTTATGTGGCCACGCAGTATTAGTACGTTAGGTATAGTATATGTGCGTGTAATTTGAACCCATCGGTGATATAAAAAGAAAATGCACCAAGAAGAGTTCTTGATGATATATTTCATCAATGAAAATTCTCCTACCTTATTCATATCTCCCAACATTCGTTGTCCTTCTGGTGGTGCGATTTCCCAAAACATTTTTTCAATAGATTCCAGATTACACAGTTTGCCTTTCGATTCATGATCGTTAGTTAATTTTAGAAGAGATGCCCTGAACAATAATATTTTGACAATAATGATAGAGATTTGACAGAGACAACAATGCCACTCTAGAGTCTGTCCAGGGTATCAATAATTCACTGCAATGGAAGCAAACCTTGTTGTTCCAACCATTACCAACGACTTCCAAAAAATGTCAATTCCAATAATATATATATATACCGATATTGTTCTTCTAAATCTGATCTTCCCATCACCATCATTCCTGTTCCTTTCCAAACAAGTTGAACGTTGTATTCACTTAAAGGTCTTGCTTTTTGATAATCTGGAATTAAAAATTTATATTGTTTTATCGAATCAGCATATCATAATTTGGGGATACGGAAGTATAGTATATAAAAAATATGGTTTGATGACTTGTAAACGACGGTAATAACGAATTTTATTCATTAACACTTTTATCAGTAAATTCATGTTTTATCAGAAAATTCAACTCCAAAGAAATAGCAAATTTAGGCAAGATCGGCATTATTTACCTGGGCTTATTGAAAATTATAACAAAAGGAAAAGTCATTTTGCCTCTCAATTGCTATTTATGTTTGTGTTGATAACTATTTATGAGAAATCCATTTATACAAATGATTGTAATGATGTAAATTTATATATATGAGAAATAAAATAGATTTAGAAATTGGATTAATTGCAAATGTTGATTTAATGCGCTTTTCAAAAAAAAATTTACAAAATATTTTTATTTACCGATGTTGCCGGTGCAGTCAGAAAAATCCAAAGACTTTCGATTATCAAATCTCGCAAAAAGCAAAGATATCGCCAAGTTGTTGGTTCCGTGGGATTCGACCTGGTGATAATAACCTGTTTGAAATGCAATGTAAGTGATTTAAGTAATTTATTTTTTTAAATAATTATTACGCTAATCAAATGATTCCTTCGCATAAATTTGTTTCAGAATATAACAATAAATCTAAATCTGATATAAAAATCTTGAACCCATTGAAGTCGAGAGCCGTTGTCACAAGATCAAAAAACTGGGGTCGGAGTTAAAGAAACCTAAAAGTAGGTTATATTCCAGTTGGTAGCAATGGCTTTGGCTTATACACCTAAGTTTTTGTCCGGAGTGAGAGCCAAAAATTATTGTTAAATATAGATTGGATTCGGGTCTTTGGATGGCTCAAACTCAAGTGGAAATGAATCGAACCGGGCAGTTTTATTGTCCGATTACATCATTACGTCCACCAGCTAGGCAATTTAATCCCATAATTCATAAACGCCTTGCCATACTGGCGTACATCTTTACATAGCGCAAAGTTCTTGATTTGATGTAGCGTTGAGCTATATCACACCAGATGTTGTCTTACTTTTTGGCAAATAAAGACAGTCTCCCGCGTATATTGTGACGTTTGACCATTCCGTTTTTGAAATATGCGGGTGCTCGATCAAATCGACTGCTTGAGGATCAATGTCCGAAAAGCTGAAAAATATAAACTGACCACTAACACTACGGTACAGATGAATTCAAAATATTTGTAGAAGCCTTATAATGACGCAAAATATACTGAATACCGCGTACTTACCCTCCAAGTTCGCTTTCGGGCTCGGGATGCTTATGTATATATTTTTCGTATTTGTACTCAATGAGTTTCCAATTCTTCGTTCCGTTCACGAGACAATTCATCTGATGGAAAGCGTCCTGAAGTATGCAAAATGATAATTTAATACTATATCAAATAACATTCGTGTTTGTGTTCAAAACAGTGGTAATGGCACGAGGTAGGCTATAATTTGTTTGGTTTGTAAAATTTGCTTTGTATTTTTAATTAAAATCCGTTCACATGTTAAATCATAATGAAAACAAATAATATATTTATAGGGTATGTGACCCTAATTACGATATTAGGACTCCCGTTAAGTTGATGTGGAACAAGAAAGAATTGTCTCATGTTAACAAATGAAATACCACAATAGCCTCCTATCGTTAAGAAAACTCAATAATACATCAATAATATCGTGTATATAGTTATAGATGAAGTGGAAATGAGCGCGAAAGATTTTATTATGGAAGTAGCAAGGAAATCTTAACATTTCCAACTGCAAGAAATTACTTTTGGATGCTAGGTAGAAAGCTATGTTTTACCCATTGTTTTCCTTCTCTGTATCAATAAATTACCTTATGCAGAATACTCGAAGTTCCACCACCGCTCCACCAAATATCCACTTCAATAATACGGCGACTCATCTCACCACATGCCCCCAGTGAAGGAACGACATCCACATCCTTGTACATTGGTGAGGGCAGATCCGACACAATATATGTATTATCATTGGAATCGTGGTACGTGTCTACAAAGTGACGTAAAGTGTCTCTTCCTAAATATTTTTCTCCAACCGGTGGTACATGGTGCTGCAGAATAGAGTTGTTTAGGTATATGTTGATGACTATTTTCTGTGATACGTATTCATGAAAAATGGGTCACAATTTCGTGGTTTTGAATGGGCCTTTCTACCGAAATTCCGCTACCGTAGTTGTAATAACGTACTTGTTTTTACCTTTTCATGTTTCCCTTCCAGTCTAACTTCCATTTCTCCATAATGTACGCGAATATATTCATCGGTCCATAAGTTGAACGCCCGGCTACCTTTTATTGCACTCCGAAATATGGCAGCTTTGCTTCGTTTGACGTATTTTTCATAAAATTCCGGGGGACTGGGAGCATTTTCAATCTGCAAGATTCCAGTTAATTAGTTTTTGATGAATTCGTCTTTGTATATATTCGTAGGGGTGACCGTACATTTGAACCCTCGTACATTTGCACCCGTATATCCGCGAGTTCAATCTATATTCGGGTGCTAAAATCCATGGGTTAGGGTTAGTATGGGTTCAAATATCCGTAAAAAGAAAATTCCATAGGTGCAATAGTATGCAGGTGCAATTGTCGTGGGTTCAAATTTATCGCCTAAAAAGTCAACCGCAAGATATGAAATCGAACATATTTGAAGTCTGTGCTGCACCAAGTCGCCTGCTGCTATATCTATTATGCGATAGCCTAAAATAATTTCGCCGCATTCTCATTCTCTCATTCTCCGGTCGTCACGTTTGCCATTGCTGCGCCGTGGTGTTATTATGCCATTTTCCCTTTCACCCAAGACTTCAGGGTCTCTATGTTTAAAGTAAATGAACTCACTGTAAACTCGTCCACATCGATTTTCGGCGGCGTATGCGATCCCAGAGGTTTCAGATGTCCTTGCAAATTCCTAATACTAAACACTGGTATAATACAGCATAAAGCAAGGTGATATACTGTAAACTGCCTGCTTTGGAAGTACATGCTTATACAAGTGACAGCTTCTTGCTTCGTGTATTTTAACTTTGATTACAATTCTCCTTGTAAAATAGACGATAGATTTACTTTGTCACTGTTATGTTTAATAAATACTTGATGACAATTACAAGCATACCTGATAAAATGATATCCACAGTCTCTCTTCGTCAGCAAACCAGTCAATATCCAAAACGCCGCTTTTTCAAAAGATGAGTCGGAAGGCCGGACGCTAGGCATAACCATTTTGCATACGCAGCAGTATTTTCATACTCATCTCTCATTGTGTTACATGTATTACCTTCTCTTTTTTGTACAGTTGTCTACTGCTCTTTTAACTTTCATTGATATACAACGTGATTTCCTTCCTGTTTCTCGTCTCGTACCAATTGCCATCCAATACTCAAGAACCATGCATCGTTGTAATTTGATGCTTCCCAGGCATTTTGGTTTTACCACCTCTGCACAAACGTTTTTTTGATAAGTATATACCGGATACTAATATATCTCCACGAAAAAATATTATTTGCATTCTTCAACTCAAAGAAAAGCTGACCTAATTAGCATGTGAGTTTCCGTGTTACTTAAGTATTTTATTGCTTGTCATCCTTGGAATTGATTTGGGGGTTATGACTATTTTACCTGTCACAAATCGTCCAGCAAGTCACCTCCTCATCAAACAAAGAATATTTAACTTCATCGCGATTTTTTAGCATATTAGCGAAAATGGCTATACAATATGCTCAACAGATTTACAAATTGAGGGGGGCGGATGTTTCCAACTTTCGGGATTGGTAGATATTTTGCAATTGAAGATAAAACTAAACGTGATTTATATAAAAGTGTGTATATACGTTACTCCCTGGGTATTCAAATACAAATATATTTACGTTAGGATTTAAGTAGGCTATGGTGTCACACCTCAAGACTATGGGGGTGAAATTTTAGGGGGTATTCACCCCTGTAGGGGGCCTAGTGAAATCACTGGGGCTATAAACAGTGATAGCTTTCAAAATTTGAAAACAGGTTCTCTTTTATATCGAACTCTACTCATTAAGTTTCCTATTTTCAGGAAATGAGTTTATGTCTTTACGTAAGCTACAGGACATGCGTCACATAAATCTAGTACATAACATTCGCAGCGTCAAATATATCGCCGGTCGTAAGTTGCGGGGGCACCTACGGTCGTCCAATGTATAAAACCAAAATACACGGGTTCGCTGATTATCACGACGTTCCAGAGACCCATTAACACAAAGTAACATTTTGTAGTGACAGTTCGCATGTGACAGTTGCAGCCCTCCCCATTAAGTGAAAGAAGAGTCAGGCAAGATGGCTATTGTTTGCATATTTATCAATGGTGAGCATTTGTATAATCAATTATAATCAACATATGCATTCTTCGTAAGCAAATAGGAAATTAGAAAAAAAACTTATTTTAAATCTGGCATAACAGTGAAACATTTCTTTTTAGTTTTTATCTCTTAACTCAATAGCATAATTGTCAGAATCATTCAATTCCTCTAGCTACGAATAGGTTTTCACTTTGAAAATAAGAACTCAAAGTTCCTCTTTGGGTTGTCCTTTCGTCAGTTTGGGCTTCCGGGTCTTTTTATTCATCTTTTCGTCGTCTAAATCCTGTATTTCTAACCAACTAAATTCACCGTCTTCTAGCATTTCATGCAAAAATCTTTCGTCTCCTTTCTGTGGTTTACGTGGTAAATTAGAATATTGTGGTGCCCAAAAATAGACCCATTTCTCTAGTGCCTTCCAGATATCATCTTTGGTAACATCTTTAGTTACTAAATTTGGTTTTCCGCCGGAGAGTGATGAAAATATCTGTAAATGGAATAGCAAATGTTACACAGATCCACGCCTATCACTGACAATCAGTTGCTTCTCGGCAAGATACGGTACGGGGTATAGGTTAGCGAGCATTAGCTCGATTAGCAGGTGTGGTTTAATGAGGGTGTTAGGAGGAATTCAATACCAAAATGAATGATAAGAGTCATGAATATGTCTTATATGGGCAAAATGGTGCAAAAACTTATTGTTAACTTTTTTTTATTTGCATTGGAAAGTAAGTACACAACATAGCAACGCGTTGTAGTGTTTTACTAGAAAGTACGTGACTGGATAGATTAATTAGTTAGATATATATTAGTAGATAAAGCAGTTTCTATGGTGTGGGAAACTTTCCATAGCAGTATTTCTGTACCGTGCATAGCAGTTAATTGCTTAACCAAGTTATACAGACCTCGTCAGCGCATTCCTTTGTTCCTCCCATCAGCATGTACTTACGCATCCAAATATCACGTTCAAGAATTTCGTATTTTTTCAAGTAATATTTAACAGCCCACCAGACATTCTCAAATGAAATTATTGAATACTCAAAATCGTAGCTGTTGGACGGTTCGTACGTTTCAACCTAAATGGTAACGGTAAAAATGATTGAAGTAGTTGTAGATCTGGCCGTGAAACGGAGGGTTTCTGTACACGGCGTTGCTTCAGGGTCGGGCTTTTTTAACGATGATGTATGGTAAACATTAACATACATGACCTGACTGGCATCCGGACAAAAAGCTGCGAGACGATATATAAATAAGCCAATGACCTCAGTTGCCTTCCTTTTTTCCGGGATAGATATAAAACGTTAAACGAAATGGCATGAAAATATTCGAATACCCATCACGATTTTTTTAGATATAAATATACGTATAATCCAATGCATATGTTTTGTGACATTTGCAAAAAAACATCATAATAAAATACAATTTACCTCCTCTCCAATTAATTGTAACTCAGAAAGAGTCAATTCTTTCACTTCCGTGGTCGTAACAATTCCATCGCCATTCCGGTCCATAATCTTGAATGCCTGATCCAAAATAAATCAGATTTGAAATTGTGAAGTTCCACTTATTTTCTATCGACTTATTATCACGGGTAAATCAAAGAATAATGCTAGCAGTAATGATGTGATGCATCATAATTTATGATAAACTAGTCCATAGCAACGACAATTTGGTTCCAAGAATATAAATATATCCCGTTAGGACAACAGGTGGAATATTCGTCAAAAACCGGGTGAATTATAAATATTAGAATATATTATATTCGAGTTTTCGTTATGTTTTCTATCTACCCACTTTTGAAAGAGAAGAAGAGATATTTCTTAATGATGAACAATACCTTTGAAATTTCTCCTTGTATCCTTTGATCCTCGCCAGGCACCATTTCCTCGAGCAGTTCTTTTACTGCATCTAAATCACACTTCTTGTCTTTTGACTCGTATTCAGTCGTCTTTTCCAACAATGATGATCTGAATGAGGAATTGAATTTATCCGTTATCCACGTTTACATTGCGTTACGAATATGTGTCTTATTTTACCCGGATAGTGTTCACGCTCAAAGTAACTATTTGGAAATATATATACGAGGTGGCAACCGAGGTCAATAAAAAGTCGTCTGTTAATTGAAAGTAGACCTGGTTCGATTCCTCGTCAATCTATTGTTCATATTTGAACAGTTGCTTTGAAAGGTGGAAAACAACCTATATAAATAAACTACTTCGTAAATATCATTTTATAGTTTTATTTTAACAAAAACATCACCACAAAAAAATTGTGAAGCAATTTCAGACAATTTAAAAGATTGAAACTAGCTTAACATCGCAGAAATATTTGTCATCTTTGTAGAAACTACGTATCATACATCCATGTCATTTGATCTGACATTGTAATTACTATAGTCACATTGTGTATGACAGGAAGCCTTTAGAGGAAACAGTTTACCTCCCACGCAATTACAAAAGGTTATAATGTTCGGCAGACACGTGGCATTTACTGCGTAGTGCATCGCACTATTTTCTTCAATATTTACGAAACCGTTACTGTTCTTAACATATCACGAAACAGTATTAGAGTAAATTCGGTATGAGGCGGTTTTGTAAAAGTAAAATTGAGTTAAATCCTATGTCATTGACTCTGCGTTGACTAACCTAAATTGATCTTCTAAATCTGCTCTTCCCATCACCATCATTCCTGTTCCCTTCCATACAAGTTGAACGTCGTATTCATTCAGAGGTCGCGATTTTGTATAATCTGATTTAGTGAAGCAGCATCATTAGATTTTTACAATAATTCAATTTTAGCGAATATACATTCGGAAAGTGTCAAAAACCTCAGATTAAATGATTTGCTTCGATCTTACCTATGTCATCTGTGCAATCTGAGAAATCGAGTGAATCCTTTCCATCAAATCTTGCGAAAAGAAGGGAAACAGCGAGGTTATGCGTACCCTCGGATATCACTTGGTGATAATAACCTGAAATGAGGTCAACATTGTTGGTCCTATTAAAAATATTAAAACAAAAAACTTAAACATAACAGATTAAACCCCACGTCTGTTAACCCTCTAATTTACATTGATATATATAGGATAAAGTCACCAACTCTGTGTCCAAGCTGAGCGTCTAATTTATAAGGCAAGTTGGAGTTCAATTCCATTTTTACCGTGACAATGTGACTTACTTTTTGGCAAATACAAGCAATCTCCGGCATGTATCGTAATGTTGGACCATTCAACTTTCGTAATATTGGGATGCTTCTTCAGATTTACTGACTGGGGATTAATGTCTGAGAACCTGAAAAATATTACGAAGATATAAAAATATGAATCACCCTCGCACTTATTCATCGGAACGTAAAGAGTACAGAATAAAACGGGATACCAGGTTTCAGCACAGTGCATTCATACACTTACCAAAACTATGCTTTGTGGGGATTCGAAATAAATTCAAATTAAGTGATTTTAAAACCAATTTGGTATTTCGGTAAACCTGGTATATATATTATATAAGTTGCTTATGCCATTAAAAATTGATGTTATAAACCGAAATACACACCCTCCTTGCTCGTATTCTGGTTCAGGATGTTTATGAATATCTTTCTCATATTTATATTCAATTAGTTTCCAGTGCTTTGTTCCGTTCATGAGGCAATTCATTTGATGGTACGCATCCTTTTAAAAATAAAACAGATAAGAAACGTTATCCAGGGTGGTGGTTACAGTTGGGCAAATGACACCCGAAATGTATATTGCCAATCCTTGTCGTGATCTTGCAGCCAGCGCGACCACAGCCCTAACACACATTTAAAGTTAATTGTATTTGCGTTTTCACTTTTACCTTCCTATATATATATATTTAGAACCTCGAAGTTCGCGTCGGTGAATCTATTTGTAAGAAATTCATTCTATTGTTTCAAATGCAAACTCTTACTTTATGCAGTATACTGGATGTTCCACCACCGCTCCACCAGATATTAACTTCAACGATTCTTTTTTTCATCTGTCCACATGCTCCCAATGATGGAACCACATTTACATCTTTGTACATTGCTTCGGGCAGATCAGATACAATATAAGTGTTATCTTTCGGGAGGTGGTAAGTATCGACAAAATGGCGAAGAGAGTCTCGTCCTAAATATCTTTCTCCAATAGGCGGTAAATGACGCTGTAAAAAAATTTTCAGAAGCTGAGATAAAACGAGATTTACATATTTATTCCAGGGATAGAAAAGTCACAAAGCCACATAGTTATATGGAAAACCAACTGTCAAAACATGATTGCAACGGAAATGCGTCAAGTCGCGCATAATCCTTCGCGACAGAATTTGAAATCGCCAAAATCGTATTGTAATAGAAGCATTACTAGTGAACCAGCTTCTACAATTTTTCTATTCTATTTTCTAAATATTTCTATTCTCGTTTAGAAACATTGGGCAATTTTCACTCTTGTATTTTATATTTCGAATGAGGAACAGTAAATGCAAAAACTCAGCCTAACGATAAACTGTATTCAAGAATGAAAACAGTTATTGTTTCTCGACGAGGAGTAATGATAGCATTGGTAAATAAAAAAGAACTCTTTATTAATTATAACCTTTAATCAGGCGCTGTTTTTATTAATAATATATATGTTGCTAATGCTGTTTCTAAGATCGAAACATGTCGTATTTTCCATAGCCTTACCTTTTCGTGCTTTCCTTCTAATCTGACTTCCATATCACCAAAATTTTCCCGAACATATTCATCAGTCCATAAATTGAAAGCTCTGCTACCCGTAACTGCGGCACGGAATATGGCGGCCTTACTTATCTTCACATATTTTTCAAAAAATTCAGCGGGCCGAGGTGCATTTTGAACCTATAAAAAGCAAAATGGTATCGCAGTCACATACGTTACAATACTTCAATTACATCATAAAGTTGCTAAACTAGTACGAGCAAAAAATTTGAAGGGATAAAATGTATGATGATTTTGAATCGATGAGTATTATTATCAGTTCATATTAGACCTAATTTGTCCTGGCTTCAATTTGGTTCATTGGTAAGGCGGCCAGATGGTGCGCATGATCAATGGCAAATTTTTGATTGTCGTTGATTTTTTGGTCTCGATTTACACTATTCTAAATATATACGAATCTAAAAGATTGGCTGTAGTAGGCTACTAGTAGTAGGTTTAATTATAATCACAAGCTTGCAACATACGTTGAATTCGTCAATTTGAACGGTTGGAGGTTTGTGCGATCCAAGTGGTTTCAAATGTCCTCGCAGTTGTCCAGTGACTGTAGTTGAACTGCAGTACGACAAAAGGCAAAATAAGCCTAATGTCATTATGAGTGCATTTCCACACCAGCGTGCCATAATATTCTTCCACAGCTACCTTTTGGTTATTTAATTTGGCAATTATTAATTTTAGCCCATGCAATATTTTAAAGAAAATAACATTTAGTGCCTTTTAAAACTCTTTTTAATAACAAATCTTTAGATAAACATAACTGGATCTGCCTGCAAGGCAATCCGATTATACCTATACTCCTAAAAATTAAAATGATCGTTTAGTCTGTTCCTTATTCGTGGTAAACTTTCCATCTACTATGGCGAGCAGTAACGCAACATGTAATAATATGCTAAATTGTATTCAACAAGTAAATATATATGACAACCCAAATCGTACACACAATTTCCTTTCTAGGCTCACTTCACTCAATACCCGCAATTCCTACGCATACATTCACTAAACACAAAATATTCCATGCTCGATACAGCATGCAGTTTTGGTCGATAAATCGCCATGCACTGGTGGCTCAAAACTTAAAATAACCCTAAGGCGCTGTCATTTTCCTATATATATTCGAATTGGTTAAAATTTCAATCTCACGCATACGGTTTGAAGCGTCTCCATTATTATAAATAAATTAACTACCATGGTTTGTAATCAAAATTAAAGCGTGGTCGAAAAGGAAAATTATGTCCTACGTAAATCAAAACATAATCGATTCCCTTAGAAGTACGCAGAAATGACATTACAGCTGACCATAAGCAACTCCTTTTACTCACCATTCAAACTAAACCGAATTCCATATGTCGAACAAAAATAATGATTTCTCAAAATATCCTGTCAGCATGATTCAAATCATGACTATCTCTATACACACATCACTAACAAAGTAGACTGGTAACGCGATTCATGCATTAAACGATACTAAATTGTCTTCGACTCGAAACAATGAATCATATAATACCATACAATACATAGCTCCTTCCTGGAATGGACCCGTTCTCAAATTCTACATTATATATTGATATTCAGTGGCTAAGGCCGACTGTCTGGCCAAGAGCGATAACAATCATCAAACAGTTTAATCCTACGCCCAAACATCGGGATGCGCGCAGTCATCGGATTAAATTGGTAATTTTAATTAGATAAAAAAATATATAGTATATTACGTTTTGACAGCGCATGTCTACATGGAAAAGTGTGTAATTTCTTCGCCACGGGGTATTCCAGCCTGCGATCGGTCAATTATAAATTGATGGTATAGCCCCTGATTACTTGATATCTAACACTGGTATTTGCAAGGTGTTTTGTACATCTACTTCGCAGAAGGTTCTAAACCATGGTCGTCCAACGCGTAGCCCTCGGGCCATATGTGACCCGCGGAAGCATTTCGAGTGGCCCGCGCTGTATTTTTCAGAATTGAATAAAAAAAAATTGGAGTAAAACTGTTTTTGGAGTGACGTAATATAGAAAGATGTGATACAAACGATTTGTTTATTTTTCTGAAATGCGCTCTGCCAGCCCTTTCAAACAAGCCATAAGTGCCATTTTGAATCGAAACCAACTGGGAGGAGATATCGATAAATAAAGGTGTCCTAGCCGCTTACACACTCGATCTTTTACTACTCTATATGACGTTATCGCAAAACAATCGAAGCCATTCTCAGATTGAGAATTCGTTTTAAGAAATGTATATTATGTATTGTTCGGGTTGCCAATGTTTTACGTCCAGAAATAAAAGAGGTGTTTGCAAAAATAGCCTGTCAAGACAGACCATAACTCGCCATGTCGAAGAGCTTGAGAACTCTATAACGGAAACTTTAATTGCAAATGCGGGAATATTTTCATCGTATTCCTTGGCGCTTGACGGAAGCACTGACATCAAGTTTACTGCTCAGTTGGCGATCTTCTTGCGGGGAGTTAATAATGATTTTGAAATTACCACAGAGCTCGTAGCCATTGTCCCTATTAAGGGTACGACTAGAGGCATTGGTCTGTTGGAAGCTGTGTTGAAAAATATCAAGCGTCTTGGCTTGTCTTCGGCGAAATTTTCGGAAATAACTACTGATGGAGCCACATCAATGGTTGGGAAACAAAAGTTTATTGGTATATTAAATGTGAAAATTTGTTGTGCGGGTATTGTTTGTTTTTTCATTAACCTGTAGTCAGTGTAGCAAAAATAGAACATAATGCCATGTTAAGTGGCCCGCGCAATTCTTAGTAAACTACATGTGGCCCTTCTGCTAAAAAGGTTGGACGACCCTGCTCTAAACAAAAGGATACTCAAACGTAGAGATCGACCGGAGTAAAACACTTGTAATTATTTCTGTTTAGCATATAACGAACTATTTGTGGCAGACAAGTTGGTTGAAGCGGCTTAATTAATTAATAATCGCTGTTAGTTTTCGACCATGTTTGACTACAAAAATTCCGTACGTGTTGTATTAGATTCTTAAAAAAAAAACATTTCACTAATTGGAATATGCTTGCCTCAAACTAGTGGGTTGGTGAGGCACCCACTACTATTTGTTTGGCGGCTGAAAAGAAACTAATAAATGAGGATCAGTACGACCCAACTACAATATTCGATTAGTTACAGGGAATTAATTCCCATGCCTCGAGTTGAACGCAGTCTTGAAATATAGTAATTATGCTAGTGTCATCACAATGGTAGACACCCATTGTAAGAAGCCTTCTGGTGAAACAGCGCATTGTCTATTGCTGTAATATAGTATTTTCATTTATATTACTGAGGCTAAAACTTTTCATACATAATACTTGTTCTACGCACAATACTGTGGATGCATATGTAGGCCCACACAACGATCAGAGGTGTGCAATAAATCACTTGTATAAGACCAATCTTGGAATATTACCAACGAATATTATACGAATAGTACACGCAAATTTGGAAGACAATACATTTTTTTCAAAGCTGTGCTGAATAGTACGTTTATTTTATCGTCCAAGGTTTTTATTCATTTACTTATAACCTGACTGTGCTCCCAAAACTCTGATCATTCACGCAATAATGTGATCTTACCTTACCTATACTATAGCTAACTAGGTAAGATAGATTCCAGCCACACACGCCCCTCCATCTTGTACTTTGTGGCAGATTCGATAACACATTATTGCAACACAATCTTCATGCCTTTCGGCCAAAGACAGGAAGCCTGTCATCCATTGATCTCGTTCAGTTGATTTATAGCGGAGATCAGATTCAACAGGAGACAGTTAAATGAAGATACAATAAATTATTGTGTTTACAAATAATTATTGTGTGTTATTTCGAATTCGGGCCTAATTCTGAACACATTAGGAAAAGAACATCATTTGTGCGGAAGTAGCCTACTGCGTCGAATCAGTCATCGGAAATTTTATTAAATTCCACTAAATATTATGACGTCACAAATGAAGCTATTTCACATGGTCTTAATATTGCTATTGATGACGGAATAAACAATACGGGCATATTGCAATTTATGCCAAATTCATTTACTTATGAGAAAATTTCATCTACAACTAGTGTTGTATGATGATGGAAGACGAATCAGAGGGAGATCAATCAGAAGCTCACGACTATTCGGAGCCAATAGAACTAGGTGAGAATACTCGCAAATCATGTGATTACCGATATCCTTTTCTGTTCAAGCTGAACTGCAAAAATTGATGAATTTCAAAAAAAAAAAACGCTACTCAGGTTCTCCTATCTTTGAACCTATTCCTAATAATAATAGTGTGAACGTGTATGTATACGGTTGTTTGTTAAATTCAAATATAACATATTTCAGACGAGGAGCAAGGTAGTGGAGAATTTTCTGACGAGGGTTCTGAACAGGATGCTGGAGATGATATCGAGACCACAAGCAATAATAATCCCTACGGTGAAGGTACATCACTGTCAGTTGGCAGTAAAGTGACAAAAAGATCAAGCAGGCGAACACTTAATGAACGCCGAAGTAAATCTGTGCAACAACTTGTCAGTTCTTCGTCATATTCTGATGGACCAGAAGTTACATATCACCGCAATGCAAGAAAGAGACAAGCATCTCCGTCGCAACTAGATCTACATCAAAATTTATCACCTGATAATATTGAAATTGAGATACCTAATGGCTCAAAACAAAATACAAGACTCCCAGGATTGGGTAAGACTGCAATACTATCTGGGAGAATAATGAAAAAAGACGAGTCGGAAAATAAATCTGAAACACTTCCAACGTCTCGAAATGAATCCACAGCAAAAATACCCGTGCGAACTCCAGATCACCTCGACGAAGATTCAGACAAAAAGCAAACCGATCGGTTTGTATCAAAGCGACTGAGTAGATCAGCCGAGATTCTACCGCTACAAAATATGTCCCCTCGAAACCAGTTTAGCAAAAACTCTAAAATGTCTGGATCAGCTGTAAAATTACCTCTTCTTCGTCGCTCAACTTCTGCAGCAAATTATCTAATGGGTGAAAAATATGCAAGGACAGCGTCGCTAATGACAACAACTCATTTACCCGGATTTATCGGAGCTCCTAAATCCAAACAATCGGAAAGCATGACACTGGGCTGTTGGAGACAGGAAAATAGTCCAGGAACGTCCGTAAAAGGAAAGGTGCGCTGAAAATTCAAGTTTTTTTTGTTCATAGCTCTAAAACGGCACATATTTCCAGCATGAACGGGCCGGTAAATTTTATTTCAGATTTATTTGTTGTTAGCCAAATTTTATTTGAAAGTAGCCTCAGAAATCGAAAAATGTCAAAAGACTGCTCATAAATTCTAAAATCATTTCAATGCAAAATTCAAACCGACTTATAACTTCGCCACAAATGGGCCCGTTTGTTACACTTGGGTATAATACTTATAATCATAACAAGAGAGCAACGCTCAAATATATGGACACGTGGACCAGAGCGAAGCAGTCCTTACCTTTGACGTTACCAGTACAGTACCCTCAAAAACCTCCGAGTTCACAGTCGCAAGAATTTTCACAGTGAGCCGTCACGCTTGGCGGATTAAAAACCGTGTTCCCATAATTAAAAAGTAATACAGCGCAAGTTTGGATGAAATATTAGATTTCATAAGATTCATACAAAATTTAGGAATAAATAAAAGTAATAGCCTTCTGGCAAAAAAATCAATCTTCAACTACTGAAAATTTCAAAGCAAGTGGTCCAGTATTCGAAGAGAAGAGCGATTTTATAATGATGAAGACGAAAATTAACAAGAACAACAACAAAATATTAAAACGATCCATAGGCCCACTCACGTGTCCAACGAAAATGTCTGTTAGCCTTACCTGACTACGTGGCAAGTGTCGACCATCACAGATGCAATTTCATGTTTTATTAAATTTCTCATTATATATATATATCATTGCTCGTCATACTCAGGTACAGATGAGTTCCACGGGGAGTGGATCGGACCAGACGCAGGAACAAAAGAATTCGCTTACTGGGGGTGATGCGAACGAAAACAAAAGAAAAACCCGCAGGAGTTCGGAAGATTTTACTCTCATTCCTACACAATTTACGTCCTCCATCGCGGTATTTGACGATTTGTCGAAATTTAAGTCAAAGAGGAAAAAACAAAATGTAGAAGTTATCGACTCCCAAATGTCTTTGCCACCGTCCGCTAATCCGCCTCCTAATACGCAAACTACTTCGGTGACAGGACTAACGAAATTCGCTAAAGATGCTGAAAAAGAAAGATTCAGGTTTGGTTTTCTCCTCTGAAATAGCGTATTTATTGTAAAGCAATTTTATTTTAATATTACTTCGACTGCCTATAGTTTTGTGGTTTCTGTTTCAGGTTGAAGTTACCAGAAGGTGTCTGTTCCGATCCTCTGCTAAGTAAACTTCGTATGGAAAGTGGCGATATTGGAATAGCCGCACGAAGACCTTCTGAGTCGCCTTTAGTGGCTATTAGAAGACATGATAGAAAACAATGCGCTAAAAAAGTAACACCGGTTAAGCTGAAGCATAGCCGAAAAAGCGAACATAAAAATGTGGGAAGAGGAATAGAGAAAAAAGAAAGCGACTATGAAATAAACAATGAAATTGAAGGTGCAGACTTTTTTTGGTGAATTGTCGTCAGATAATTATCTTATCGAATTATATTACTTTAGTCTTCCAAATTATATTATTTTAGTACATAAATAGCGTTCTTTGAGGACGAAATTATTCTTATTTTCAGCAAAATTGCGTGAGGTTCAAAGACTGAAGGAAGAAAAAGAGAAAAGGCGTCGAAAAAAACACTCTCCACCTAATCCAGATCTTGGATCTATGTTGTCAAAAAAGCCTTCTGATAATATGCTAAGGATTCGGAAACGATCGGAAGAAGTCAAGCAGTCAGCGGGTAAACCAAGTACCAGTAGAAAACCATGGCCGTTTGAAGCACATAGTGAACATCATTTAGCAGGAAGAGCAGGCGTGCTTGAGGTAAACCTTTTCCAGTAATTTTTTATTTAATCATTTAAACCGTTTGAATTTGTGATTATTGCTACGCTGGAATGGACAAGCCAATAACAGGCATAAATTTTATTTTTGTCAAATTTGAAATCTGAAACGTTAAATCATACCACAATTAGTAAGAGACATGTATCATCGAATTTGTATGGTTCCAGTAGCTTTTGATAGGACCTTGAACTAATTCCAGAGATAATTCATTCAGTGATATGTTTTTTACAAAAGAACTTCAGCATTGTGCAATACTTTCGAGTACATCAACCGATATTTATTGACGTCTATATTACAAAGTGTAATTTATATATAAAGTAAAGTGTGCTCCAAACGCCTTAGCTATCACATTCGAAGCATTTTCCACTAGGAATGCTTTCAGTTGAAATCTACGAATAAAGATATTGTTTGACATCGGAATATATTTTTGATGTAGATTTTCGTTTCAAGGGCATTTTAATTATGAGTTTGTTTTATTGAAAAATCGTACACTGTCTCATGAAATCAAGAATCATGTTCAGTACAAATGAAATTGTTCGATAAATATTCAGCATCTTGCTTTGGTGGATAAGCAATTGCAAATGAGTGGGAGCTTTGACAATTTACTGAAGAAACGATGGGAGAGGATGGCGCAGGACGGGGATAGAGATGACAATGGTGCATTTCTAACAACAGTCGGAAAGTTTGTTCCTCTGGATCATTCCATTGTTCTTGTCGGTCGAACACCATTGCCAGATGGCTCTTTCAAGTTAGTTATTTTAAATAATTTGCGAGATATTTTACGAATAGGATTGGACGAAATAGGATATTCAGCTATTCCATGATATTCGAATACTCAAGAATCTTAAGAATTAAAAAATATATTAATAGCAGAACGACCATAATGCAAAATTTTGATCTAAACTCGCACGGAAATGGATGCTAATTTTAGCTGCGAAAATCATAAAAATGACATCAAAACTCATATATAGACTTCAAAATCAAAAGACATTGGCATGAATAACAATCCTGAAAATTAGAATGATACGCGTGCAAACAACTTGGGTTGACGTATATGTGGTTGTATGAGCCACGTGATACAAACAAGTTGCCACGGTCAATTTTAAATAATTACACCGTGTAACAAAGGGCATATATATTTTTATACATAGTATATATGTGGTTTAAATTATCGCAATTATTGCGACTGCATATATAGAATTCAAATGAAAATTATTTAACAAATGCTACGTTGATTGCATATGTGGTATCTCACTCTCTCTATCTGACTCGGAATAAATCACATTCCAGAAAATCTATACAAATAACAACCAAATTTAGAAATAAACTACTACATTAAGGTAGTTTTTAGGCTTACCAACTGTTATCTCATTTAGAAAGACAGTTGTTCTTGGAACACTGATGAATAAATTACCTGAAAAGGAAGAGGTTGGATCTGGTGATTCCATGGTAACCTTGAATTCATCAGCTGTCGAGTCTCCGATTGTAGTCAGAGGAAATGATTTTTTTGAAGGCGGGGGTGATACTAGTGCTGCGATTAAACCAACTTTGATACAAGGGGAAAATACACGAAATATGCAAATATATAATAAGCATGACGATACCGAGAAATTAGGAAAGGACGAAAGGACGGGTAAGAAAAATCTAAGGAGTTTTGCGAGAAAAATGAGCAAGGGATTTACAGATAAGACAAAGACTGCTACTCGAAACGTTGTCACAAAGCAACAAGAAAGGATGCGTAGGATGTCTACAGCTGTTGGTGGAATCACCAGGAATATGAGGAAACGAGGGAAAAATATAGAAGAAGAAGACATTACACCGGTACAGGCTGAAGCACAAGACACCGGCCGGGCAACATCTGAAGATGGCGATTCAGCATTTTACAGTTCTGAAGATGAACCGTTCGATGAAACTATTCTGCAGCAATGTGAAGGTCGGAATATATTTATAGGTAGACGAAGCCGTCCAGAACCCATTTCAGGAAAAAGGAAGGTTCGGAGAAAAGACGTACTCTGGCATATTCCCACTGAACATGATACCTGCCCAATTGCAAACTCTGATGCATTAAATCGCAAAATGCGTGAATTGAGAATCGAAATTCGCCAATCTACCGACTTAAATTTGAAGAAATGGAGAATTGGCAAAGAAGGCTGGGTTGGTGAAACGGGTAGCAAATTAAGTTTTGATGCACCAAACGAAAGAGGCGACTTCACTGTCGATAATCTTATATCAAACGAAGAAAACTGGGAGAGACAGATGAGACAAATTAAAAAGGCACTTGGAGTTTTAGCCAGAGAATCCAGGCCAGATTTAAATGTCAAGGCGTTACCGTAAACTAATGAAGCAAAAACCGGCCGCAGTATATTGCAGATACCTATATGACCCAATGGTTGACGACAATCATTATGAATACGTCCCGTCAACTAAATCGTCGTCATCTTCTATTCATCAAGCAATTAAGGGAATTGTGAATATTGGAACAAAAGTTCGCTCGGTCCTGAAGGGAAAGAAGGAACACATTTATGATGAAGTAGCTGGAGATGAATTCATTGACCCCCTTTTTATGAATGAATTAGAGACTGGTTTTCCCGGGGTAAATTGGAATGGCGATAAAAAATCGGATTCTTACTCGGACGATTTCCCCAATTTCATTAAACCGAGGTTTGTAGAAGACGAACGTGAAGAAGTACCCCGCAACAATTTGAAGCCAGGAGAAAGTACCGATACGGAAACTCAAACTGAGGATTACTATGAAGAAATTGACGAATATATTGGAGCTACAGATGTTGCGCAACTGCATTCAACCGTACGCGGCGATGACCAAGAGATTGAGGCTACCAGTGACGATTCAGATATGGAAGATGAGGAGGAAACTGATACAAACACTGTCAAGGAAGGCGAATACGATGAGATAGACGAATCTATCACTGTTGCCAATGCTAGTGACCTCGAAGGTGGATTTTTTGGAGGTGTCACAGAGGAAAGCCAAAAAAGCGAAACTAGCAATTCGGAGACACCAGAAAACGATGAAACTGAGGAATCTCAAAGTGAAGAAGACGAATCACACGATGAAACATCAAGTGCTCCCATTCCATCGGCTGGAAAGACCGTAAAAATTGGTTGTAAATCTAAAAAGAAAGCGAAAGATCGTCCATATCTTCAATCGAATATACCCAAGAAAGATAAAGCGGCCAAGCAAATGATACAGATAGGACGTCCCAGACCAACTAATATAAGACGATCATTTCCACTACCACCAAAAATACCTCCGCGGGGAACTGGAAATAAATATAAGCAAACAAAAGCCAACGAATTAAACTACGGAGGAACAGAACCATCTAGGAGTATGTCATCAACTTCATTAGGACTAGAGAATAAGGGTAACAAACGACTTCTTCAATTTGATTTTGCAAAATCTTTCCCAACATTGACGTTTCATTCTCGGAAGAAGTATCACAAAAAGTCAACTTGCACCTCATACTATGATTTACCGAAACCACGAAAATCATCATCTTTTCCTTTTTGTAGTGACGATTCATTTATACAAGAAATGAATGAGATGCGACATAGTTTGGTGCGCTATTTAAGCGATGGTAGTTGTGGGGATTATGATTACTACGGAGCAATGTACTCAAAATCTGCTCTACCTACAGAGGAAGAAAAAAATCAGTTGTTGAATAATTCGAGTTTTTTTTCTAAAAAGCATGTAATCTCTGACGAAGAAAGTCAAAATTGTTCATCTGAACATACCTCCCATAAAAACGATGTTCCTTTAATTAGCACTGGTCCAACAAGATCGGAAGATTCTGTTACCACTTCAGACAGTGTTGAGAATGAGAGTATAAGTGTTATAGAATCTGAGATAGAGCAGGATGTAGCAGAAGACTTTGGCGCAGCTGTTCAATATGACTCACCCAATTCGGAGAATAACGAAGAGAAGGCAGAGAGCGATGAAAATTCTGATTCCTTTTCAACCGATTCGGCAGATACTGTTGAGAGTAAGCATGATTTAGGCAATGAATTGAGAATGGCATTAGATGAAAGAGAGAAGTTGAAACCAGAAAATTCATATGATGATCCGCCAGTATCATCCAAGATTTCTAGTTTGACGGATGCCTCAGGCTCAACTAAAGTATCTCCCATACCGAAAAAAATTATTGCAAGCAAAAATACAAAGGAGAAAAGCACAAAATTCAGTCCTATTACAAAAAAGAAACCTATGTCTTCAGACAGTAGTGATGAATCTCTTCAAGGCCTTGCACAATTTTTCCATCCGGACCAAATTACACGAAATGGTAAAACGCGACAAAGGGCAGATGACGATGATTCAACCTGGCACCGATCAAAATTATTTCAGTCCTACCCTGGCGACAGGTTACGATCGTTGTTTGGTCCCAGTCAATCTTTCTCTAACTGCGAGTCATTGGAAGAACACGACGCATTTGGTGATCCAGTGAAAAAAAGAAAACACTTTCCTATAGATAAAATGCTACGGATGGTGCCGTCTGATTATTCCACAACAAACGTATCCGATATTACAACTTGGTGGGGAGATGATGAAAAGAGACAAGGCAAATTAGGTGGTGCTGATCGATGGAGTACAAAATCTTTAATCGGTTCTGATATAAAAGTTCCTCCGTCTGACGCAGAAGCGAATATAGAAAAAAGCAGATCATCAAGGTCATTAATGACAAAAGCCTCATTGGGATTTCGTGCTGCGATGATGTATTTGCGTGGCGATGGTCTTCTTCTTAAAAAATTCATGAGAAAGGACAAGATGCCCAAACCAAAAAAATTTAAATTTAGAAGAGATGATGGTGAATCATCTGTGAAAATAATCTGCAAAGAATCAAATAGACGATTACAAAGTGGCGAAAACACAAGCGAAGCGAAACTTTGTACTCATAAAGATTGCATGTATAGACGATGTTCCGATTCTGATTCGTCAAGTTATGAAGATCTTCGAACAATATGCAGAGAATCTACGTCGTGGCCTTGCAGAAGAATTGAATCGCCATTGAATGTAACATTTGACGCAGTGAAAAACATCTTAGAACGTTCGGAAAAAAACGAACCAGTTTTTGATATTGTAAGCATTCCGACTGTTCCTGCAGCAGTAACGAAACTGGAAGAATGTGGAAAATGCCCTTGTAAAGAAAGCCGTTTCGAGCCATTTTTCCCTAAGTTATTTGAAGAGAACGTTTTGAAACCGCTTGCAGTAAGAGTGGTCAATTTGGCTGTTCTTGAGGGAAAAGAAAAATATGACAGACTTTATCCTATATATACAGAAAGGGATGTGGACAAGCTAACTGACAAAATGGTTTACAATGCAATTCTATATGGTGTTGCAGAGTTCACAGTGAAAGATGCATTTCAGGACGTAATTATTGATATTCAAACAGAGGACATGTTGGATGAAATGATAAAGGACGAGATTAAAGACGTAGGAAAGAAATTAATTGCAAATGCGTTTTCCGAGGCCGCAATCCAACAAGGACGAAGGAGGATAATTATTAAAGACTTTCTAGATTCAAATAACAAACGGCGAGAAAATCAAAGTGAACAAGTCCAAAAAAACAATTCAGAAATTCTGAGATACCCAGTTCTGTCTGATGATAAATTTGCACCATTCAGCCCACCGTGCCAATACCTTAAAAGACTCGATGGAGTAGTTCCACTTCACATTCCAAATGTGGAAGGAGAAACCCAGCAGATGTTTTACCAACCTAGTACATTGACCACTAAATTGAAAGCTAACAAGCTTATTAGTAAAGTAATAAATAGAAGCGTTGATAAATATCTCCATCCTCCAAGCGAATATTTCACAGCTTCCGAAACTTCTCTCGTCATCCCAGATGATGTAATTGAAGACCAAGTTGAGGAACTCGTCAACGACATAGTTTCTGCAGTCACGCTCGCGGAAGAACTTCAACTCGACTTTTCAGACGGACTCAAACTACAGAAGAAATATCCAGATTTAACAGAGGAATTTTCGATTAAGAGCTCAAGTAGTCAAATCGAAGATAAATCTGATGGTGTGGATGTTGAGCCTAAATTTTCTTCTTTTTCGAAACGTTCAAGCTGCAAATCCGACATTGAATCCGTTGCAGCAGAGAGTGTACCGAAGATTTCGTCCATTTCTGTATCCGATTCTAAATTCATAAGCGATATAGATATTGATGAAGATGTGAAATTTATAATGAACAAAATTTTGTGTTCGGTTGCATTATCTGAAGAAGTGGAAAACAGATGGAAAGAAGTCGATGATGATGACTTGAGTAACAAAAACAATCCAGAAAACATAGCGATTGAATCAGAAATAGAAGTCGAGAACTCGCAAGAGCACATGGATGCAAACGATTTAACCGAAGATCGAACAGAAGAACACAAGTCTGAATACAACTATGATTCTCAAGAAAATGTCCAGGTTTTGGGCAATGAGGCAGACCAAAATTTTGATGAAGAGGATCCAGATGTAGATGAGGATCCTGGTGATCAGCATCCTGAATTAGACGAGAATCACGAAATTCCTGATGGGGAAATTGGGGACGAGAATTGGGATGGAGAAGAACATCCAGGTAAATTAGATTGCTGATAATGTGGTTGAGGAAAAGATTTTGTTAACAATTGTTAATAATCTCGATCATTCATTTCGATAGAAATATACCCACATCACTTTAAGTCGCGTTGAATCAAGTTGCATGAAACTTTTATCACGACATTTCATTTCGTAGTGCCTTTCTTGGTCAAATAGCTTTTTAAACCACATCTTTATTTGGTACTTGCCTTGGATTCGACTCAGGTTACTCAATGAAATGATGAAAAATTTCTAGTAGATGACACCGTTGGATTCGACTTGGACTCGGTTCGTCAAAAATAGACTTAGGTCAAATTCGCAACGACAATTGATAAACGATACAGTATTTTAATTAGGGTATTAACATAATCGATGCTTGCCTATGATCCGTTTTCTTTGACTCACTCCAGAAGAATATGCAGATGAAGATGGCGAATACGGAGCAGAACAGTATGATGTTGACGAAGAGGAAGGAGATTGGGGTGAAGAAGGGAATTTTGAAGGTTTGTAGCCAGGGCTGTTCAAAATCGGAATATTTTTCTCGAATCGAATATTAAAGCGCAATCTTAATTCGATCTCTATTCTACATTAAAAAATCCCTCTTCGATATTGCGAAAACGTAAGTGCAGTTACATCTTAAATACTGCTGATATTTTGCATAACTGTGTTTCCAGAGTCATAAAGGGAGATCCCATGCCTACATGAACTGGTCAAAAATATATAGGTCTCCAAAATTAGGGTTTTGAAAACTATCGAGTTTTGAGAGTTGAATACTCTCAATGCCTTATTAACTTAATTCTAATGGATTCCGTTACAATAGGGTATGCAAAGCCTGTAGGTGCTAATTTAAGCATATTATCATTAGTCCAAACTCTTTGAGTTTTTTTTGTGTAATATTCATCAAAATGATAAACAACCATCAATATAGATCAGTGTTCTTCAACCTTTGTGTTATTGCGGAACCCCTGATATCATTTTTCGTTTTTTATGGAACCCAAAATAACAAAAATAAAAATAAAACACGAAATACTCGTAACACGAAATATTTGTAATTCAAATATTTCTACTTCTACAACGAAACAGAAAGAAGGTAACAAGCGTGAAATTCAATGACTAGTTTTTTTCTTGCATTTCCTTTGCAATCTTCTTGAATAGTGGCTCCACGGCGCTCAAAGCAATTCTCATACTCATGTCTACACTCTTTAAAAACTTCTTTTTTGTTTTTAATAGTTGTTAAGCAGAAAAGTCTGATTTACACAAATAGGTATTGGGAAATTGACACAGAAGTTTTAATGCTTCTTTTGCAATGGCTGTATACCCTCTTTGTGAAGAAAAATCCAAAAATATTCCTTTCCATGTTTTTCGAAGGTTTTCTCCGAATTAATATCATTACGGATATCTAAGAGTCCTTCTTGCTGTTGCGCACTTAGAAATTCATCCAAAAACGGAAAAAGAAGAACAATCATTTTTTGCAACTTTATTGGCCCAGCACTCAATTTTTCCTTTACGCGGAACCCCTAAGGAACCCTATAAACTCACGGAACCCCACTGCATGTGTTGCGGAACCCTAGGGTTCCGCGGAACCCCTGTTGAAGAGCACTGATATAGATGAAACTGTTGCCAAAAAAATTGCATTTAAAGAGGTCACGAATTCGGAGCTAGTTTGATGACATTATTATATGATGACTGTATTGTTACTGTACAAGAGCCACCAAATGCAAAAGTGCAATTATTTGTCATGGGAATAGATGAATAATACAAGTTCCATTGAAAGAGGGTACTGTCATCATAAGCCCTAATATCGTAAAACAGTTATACGAAGGGCAAGAATTGTTCATGCATGAAAAAACGCAGTGCAAAGGTGGTCGTGAGGCCTTTTCCGCTTTATATACTTTATTTCACCGATTCGCAAATTAGCCGGAAAATGATCCGAATAATTTACAATTCGATTTCGAGTATTCGGTTCGCTTGGAGAGCCCTATATGTATCTATAGTCTTACTCAAATAAATATATTTGCAGTTTATAACAGTTTACGTTATAATATAGATTATAACATACCAGCACTATTGTGCGGTTTTTATTTATTTCCTTTTTTGAATAGTATAGTATTTTATGTTTGCGGAACGCACGATACGGTCATCTACCATCGATTTTTTCATGTTTCAGCAGGACAAAATACAGCATTAATTTCTCATCTGTTCTCTATCCGAGAAGCTGTGTCACCTTTTTGAAAACTAACAAAGTTAAATATTCCATGCACAGCATTATATCGCTTCGAGTACAATATAATATAATATGTAAATCGAGCAATGCTGAAATATATTGTTGCATGTTTTCTACTTCATTGTTTTATTCTACACATTTCAGAAAACGAAATTAATGAAGAAGAAGAAGAAAAAGAAGAAGAAGGTGTTCCTCCTCCTTCTATGAGAGCAAGGAGTAAGATGAAGGTTTCAAAAATTTTGGAGAAACTTCATCGTTCTTCAGTCGCCAAAAACAGGGATCCTATTACACGAGGTCCAATACAAAGATTTTTTGTTAAACTGTTCGAAAGCAAAAAGCGCCAGAGTGCTTCAAACGATACCTGGAGGTGAATAGGCAATTGACCGTCCTAAAGAATGTGAAATGAATAATAATAATATGTATACTAGTTTATCCTACATATATAAAATGAATATTTTGATGCAAAAACCAAAACATACATGACAGATAACTTAAGTTTATTTTCCGTTAGATTTCTGAATGAAGAACCGGAATGCAGCGGGCTCAACGTCTTTGAAGGAACTTCTTCGTCAACAGATAGTAGCTCGTTTCTGTCATGGAACGAGTCCACACCACAGAACATTTTCATTGGTAGAAAATCGTCCAATAAACGGAGAGAAGACAAAGTGAAGAATCCCGGTAGTCAGACTCCGAAGCCTTCAACGGGCACCGGTGATATATGTTCGAATTCTAGTTGTGAACCGAGCGATACCCACCGGAAAGCCTTCGGATCGCTTCCATTATATGTGATAAATAGGTTTGGAAATATTGCAAGACGACTCAGTCCCTCGAGAAAAAAAGCTCAAACGCACTGCCCAACTCCATCCTGTGGTAGATCAACCAATGCCGATGAAAATTACGTTTCATTCATTCCTCCTAAGCATGTATCATCAACTCCATCTCCTTCCAGAGCAAGACATACTCCTTTCCCATCAGCCGGAATATCAGAGAATAACTCTATACCCACCGCGGATAATTTTGCCCAAAATAATAATCCTCGGAATCAACCACCTGTGTCATCATCATCCACAAGTATTTGGGAACGAAATATTGAGGCAGCTTCATCTCGCCATTGTGATACAAAGTTAGATGGGAGCTCTTCTTCGAAAACTGACAGTACTTACGACCCAGTAGAAAGTAGCACTGTCTGTACGAGCGATACGTCCATTTCAATGAAAACATATCAAGTTCTGCAGAATGATGGACAACAGGTACAAATTGGAAAATATCGGGAAGAAAAATCAAACGTGAAAACAAGGATACCCTGCCCACTTGTCATGCCGCCAAGTTCAAATGTATTAAGCATTGGAAAGAGCAAATCTTCAACACATTCCTCTATGAAACTTGCGGATAAATCTTCAATTTTGGTCAATATTGGTAATCGCAAAGCGAAAAATAATTGTTTACCCATAGATGCCCCGAAACCTTTGCAAAATTCCACTTCAAGTACGGTTAAGATAAATACAGTATACACAACTTATGGAGAAGTCGATCGGGACGGTAGCGGGAGTGATGTTTTTCCCATGAAAAGAACTAATCCTCTGCCAAGCGATTCCAAGCTGCTGCTCATAAAAGAGAGTACGCAACAGATACAGTGTTTTCAAGAGATTCCAGACGAAGCTGAACATGAAGATAATGAAAATGAGAAGCCTGCATCTAATTATAACGCCGAATATAATAGTTGCATTTCGGATAATATTAGCAATTCTGCTGATGAACTTGACGATGAAACAATATACGAGAACGTGAGAAAAATGTTTCATCCGTGGAGAAAGGACGACGACGACTTAATCAGAAAATTGAGGGCTGGAAATATTGAAGCCCCTAATGTTATTGCTGGACCGCAGCATTCATTGAACAACACAAATGAAATGCCTAGTTTGTCTCGTGGATCTGTAAAGTTATCCGAAAGTGGAACTGCTTTTCTAGATGAGATATACCAGATTGCGAACGCGTGCAAACAACAGATCTTTGAGCTGGCCGAACTGCGCAGAGATCACTTAGGTCATCTAGAAGACATTCAAAATGAAACTCCAGTCGTTGAGGAAAATATCAAAAACGACAATACTGACTATCGCGAAGATGTTCTTGACATAGTGATTCCAGAAAAGAAGAATGCCGGAGTTCAAATTGAAATATCCCAACCTATTGGGAAACCCGAATCTGCACAACCAAAGTTAGTTAACTCTAGCACCTACACAACACAGGATCTCGTGGACGACGTCAATTACCAAATATCAAAAGTAAATAAAATCATGGGTGTGTCCTGTCGAAAACCTTCAAACTCTGAAATGTCCGCTAGTAGTGACACTGCTCCTCCTGTTAATTTTGAACTAATGTCAAGAATGCGAAGTTTAGAACAGACAATAGATGACTTTGCAAAAGAACTTCAATGCCCACGAAGTATGGACCACCGTATTAATACAAACATACATAGAAACGGTGATGAAGTACAGGAAAAAGACAAAAGCAGAGATTTAACGCTAGGTGGCATCAATGATTACCAGAGAACATACCGTCAACGAGCAAAACCTAAAAACTCACCACGTGGTGCAGATCATATGCATCACAGGCGTAGCAAATATGGTAGAATATCCTCTATGAGTTCAACTCTATCTGGGGGTCGTCGATTCCTTAGGTCTCTCTATTATTCTCCTCGTGTTCCCGGTATCCGACCGAGCGCTGCTGTATCCAGTAAATACGATAGGCAATTTCATCTATCTGACACTACATATTCTGCAGACGATTCCTCAAGAACAGATTGTAATTTATCAGACACTTCCGTATACGCGGGAAATATGAAGTACCGTAGACGTCGTAACCATTCAAGCGAGACGGAAGCAAGTTACTCTGATAATCACACTACGCGGGAGAGAAAAAAACTTCATTCAACAGCTTCGAGGAAATCTCCGCGATATAAGATGCGTTCCCGCTTTCACAAGTATGCGGATATAAGAGAAATAAGTACACAAACTAAAGAAGAGTTAAATATATCAAATCCAACCGATGAATTAAAAACCAGAGGGGCTGAAAAATTGAATAATGGAGATCAGAGTGATGACGAGAAACCAACAACGTCACGAAGTTCGGCTTACGAAAGACGCCAGGCTAAGGAAAATGAGCAATGTGAAAGCGCACGTAAATTAAAATGCCTACGTAAAAAGTATAAACTGAGCAGCGAATGCAGCTCTGATGAACGTTGTAAGATTTTAAGAAGGGAATTGTCAGAGAATTCTCTAGTAAAGACAGGTGAAGAAAAAACAAATTATGCTAATGATCCCAGTAGAAAGTCAAAAAGCCGCACACACGGGGAAATCAACCCATCGCTAGTACCAGAAAACAATGCTACCAATGAATCTGACAAAACAAATCAGGAATCTCACAATATTAATAAGGCTTTTATTCCTTCGATATCTCAAGGGCCAATATTCAAGAAGATTTTACCAACGAAACGAAGGATGCCGCCAATTGGTGGCCGTCACAGAAAAGAAATACCAGGTACGTATGCTTCGACTTTCAACTAGAATAGAAACAATACGAAAATAAGGCTTTGCTTCATCAAAACACTCTATGTTTCATTTGATCCAATCTTCATAGCTAATGAGGGTTACACGCACGGCACGATCCATCTTGCATTAACTTGGTTATTATTTATAACTGAATTCCGGTATTTATTTTCAAAATCTTAATGCAGCACGGCACGAAAGCTTCAGCAGTGAGTCCAATTCATCACAATCCAGTACGGAGCCTTGTGCCGCGCGTGCTAGTGCAAGAGGAGGAATTGTAGTAGTTCCGCGCAATCTACGCAAATCAACAGCTTGTCAGAAAAATAATTTGCCCGACGGAAGCCAGTTATCAGTCCCGGTGTTGAAAGAGTTTTTTGAGGAAAGCACAGACGAGGCAAGTTGAAATAATTATTTTTTTGAATACAATTGTCACATATATATATCGGAAGTTATTTTTCGGACTTCTTTCACATTCCACCAAGTAAATGTCGTAGAGTTTATGAGATATGACGCTACGAAAAAGTTTTCCCAGAAACAACAATTCAGTAATACGATCCACAACTCCACTTGGTGTGCAATAATTTTTTGTTTGTGTCATTTATTATGATGCTTATAATTTGACTTAAATTTCAGTTACTATTACTAGAAAATGAATATCGTCTCTACCGGCATTTCAATTGTCTTTTCAAACTATTCAATGTTGCAGAAATTAATACTATTATCTCTACAAATTTCCATGTTAAAAGTTTTTTTTCGATAGGAATTCAAAGGTAAACAAAAAATTGGGAATGTACTATCGGTGCAACAGCTCACCCCAAGAGATACAAAATTTCTCGGTGTTACAAAGAGTAGAAAGTCTAAGGAATCAGTAACATTGAAACCTAGTGCTCATCCTGAAGCAAGAAAATCATTGAGAAAACTTTCGGAAGACAATCAAAAAGTAAGTTACCGATGTGTTTGGAGGGATTATATATATATATATAAGAGTGATAACAAGCGTCGACCCTTGCGCATGCACTAATACTAGTTTCGGGTTCCAGACCACACTACTCTTCTAGGCCGATATTTAGTTACTTTTAGCGTGTGATAGTGTTGTCTGTTTCACATTTCCAAAATCACAAACATAAGGGACTATCAAAATCGAGATAGAGAGCTTGTGCAAATGGGAGATACCCCATTAGGTCTTCAGTGTCACCTAACATTACGCCTTCCATTTCAATTAATGAACTTTGTCTGAATTTTTACTCGTTCATCTTTTTTTTTTAGCAAACAATGATTCTTGTCAATAGAGATGTAGCGGAGTCGCCTAAGGATTACACGGATTACGACGATGTGAAAAATTTAAATAAAAATAGACGACAAAGCCAAGGCTCGGGTAAAGATGGACTCGACGGTAGGGTAGTTCGTGGAAAGGACGGACAGACTCGCGTTGTCGTACCATCCTCCACTGTTGATTTTCTGACCGGTTTACCATCGAGCTATGCCGAAGGAAAACAAAAAACAATTCCAAAATACAAGACGAGATGCGACGATAAACCTGTTTGTTTTCCTGGGTACTTTGACGACAGCAGCTCCAATGAGTCACTTGAAATGAAATGGATGGATAGAAATATACAACAAGTTGAATTACCACGCCGACGAAGATCCCCTGTAAAAGTTCATCCGAGGTCAGGAACAGACTTTAGGAGATGGCGTCAAAGTCTAAATGGTGGTATTCTGAAGGACAGAAGACACTCTGACAGAAAAACTCGACGAAGAGCTTCGTCTTTTGATATAGAAGCTAGGGTACGAGAGTGCAGACTGAGTTCTTCAGAAAGTGAAAAAACTGACAAATGTGCGGCGGATGGTCAGTGTTTTCCTGCACAACCTTGTAAACCTACGAAACTATGCCTCGATAACAAAAAGGCTCGTCAATGCCACCGACGGAAGACAAAAGAACATTCTGAATGGAAAAATTTTGTTAAAAATATTTTCCATCTTATATTATCAGCAGGTCCTTTACTGGAAACTACGATTCGTCTTCTGGCACTTGCGATTATTTTATTCTATGCTATTCATGAGGAAGTTTTTGTTGTTGATGGTGATTTCCCTACATGACGATTGCTGTTTTTTTCTTGTTTTCAGTACTTTTCATTTTACTCCAAATAAACTGCACTTCTTTGTTTTGTTTATATTGTCTGGGTCGAAGATAATATGAAGTTATATGTAATTTTGAAGCTAGATTTTTAGGCGATTACATGAACGATATCAGAGATAAAAAGAGAAGCATTAATAATTAAACCTAGTTGAGCCCGCCTAGAGCAAAAGTGGCGTTTAGCAGACGAGAAACGCTCCTTACATTTGCGTTGCGTATGCACAAATTTCGTGCGTACAGAACGGGTTCCGGGATTTCGTAACGCACACCGTGCTTCATAGCGAGTATAAGTTGAAAGCTGGTACACTATCGATATACAAAAATCATGATAGGTACATTAACAAACTTTTATCAAATTGTTTGTATTGCGGAAAAGAGTTCAGATTTGAGAATCTTCAAATCGGCAAACAAAAGTTACCTAAATGGCTACAAACAAATATCAATCCACGATTCCCATCCCCGGTACAAGTTGAATATTGCACTGAGCACGCAAAGTTGTAATTTCAATAAAATATAATTCACAAAATATATACCATAAATTGCAAAAATGTCTTCGATGTTTCTTGGGCATCTCCCCTAATTTCAGCCTGATTTCTGCTTCCACTGTGTGTCAAACCAGGCTTTATATTCAATTTGAAATTGCTTTAAGACTGAAAAATTTCAAAAACAATTTTATGCAACTGGATAAATAACGAAAACATTTCAGAACATTTACCAGTAAAGTTAGTTACCTGCCACTGCAGATTGTAATGCAGAGTTAAAATCCAATGACACAGCGTTGCTCATTGTATTCGTTCTATCGTTCATCCACATATCTCTATCATCTGGACCTCCTACAACGGCACCAGTAAGTACTTGTGGGTTGTCAGTTGGTTTTCTGAAATCTTCGTACGTGCATTTTCCAGCGGTACTGCATGAGCTACAAAATGTTTGTATTGCGTTACGAAAGTTAGATGAATAAGTATTGGATCGAAAATGTTTGATGACTATTTCAAGTTTTTGAAGATATGTACACACCACAATGATTAATAACGCAGTAATATGATTGCCGGCAGACATGTTACTTGGCCAATATAAAATTCCAATATGTTTTCATTTTAGGTGATATTTTCTCTAATCGAAATTAGCTTTACCTTACCTAGATCTGTGATGCGGTTGCTTTGGGTAGTTTATGCCATAGCCAACTACAAAACTCTTTCCGGTTTTCCCAAGAACATAATCTATCTGATCTTCACCAAATTTTCTGAAAAAAAATTGCAGCTTTGTTTCTAAGCTTTTCTCGTGTCCCGTGAAAATAATACAAAGTAGAAAGTATATGGAAAATGGATGATCATTTATCGAATCAAAACGTATAAAATTATAGCAGGTATATTGGGGTATTTCTCTTGACGCCACCACAAAATTTGGTACTCCCGTAGTATGTTTACCAGGTTATTAATTTTATTCCAGTTTTCCTTATTATAGTTCTATTACGAGTTCGGGGACTGTCTGTGTTAGTCAAGTGAATATATCCCCTGCCCATATACTTTCGTCCCTTTAAACAACTTGATGTAAAATAGGCGAACAAAATTAGTTACCTCCATATTGTTACACATAGGCTACTTCTGGAGGGTCTATGGGTATCACACAACAATGTTTCTTTTCATCTATCGCGTGTCCTGTTTGATAATTCACCTTTACTTAAAATTACCTGTACTTTGTCTTTTTTTCATCAGGCACCAATTTTAATTTTGACGTCACCATACAGATGAACCCAGCATTGCATGCATATCTTATTGGGCCCCACTTTGACTTGAACAAAAGACCCTGTGGCGTATATTCAGCAGTGCCATCTAAATACGAATTCTTAAATAATGTTCCATTGGCAATCAGTACTATTATTTTAAAAGCCATTGAATTGATTTGAACAACCTTGTTAAAATTAACCTCAAATACCTTACATCTTATTCGGGAAACAGAATGAAAACCTACAGTAATACTTTAATAACATTGCTATAGTATCATAGAAATCTTGGGATTAAATACCATGAACCGCAACACTCCACCCATGGTGTAATAAATTGAGTAGGCAATATCGAATCGAAAACTGCCCTTTCCAAAAAATAGTATCTCCTTACCCTGCACTGGTTGATAATACTGTATAGAGCCTTGTTTGGAGTGAATTGCTTATGGAACTACGAATGAAATTCAGAGATAGAAAATAGTTAGTTCATTTTTTGTCTGTTATTTTCGCTGTAAACTGAACTATTAATATAATAATACCCATCAAACCTGGCATAACAGAATCACAAAACGCAAGCAATGGTTTCACATATGTTCGCTTTTTCGTGTATTTTGCAAGTAAAAGTTGAACACCAACTGCTTTTTGATCCCACGAAAATTCCGTTTGTTGATTGAATAAATTGTAAATGAAATATTTTGTTTTTACATTTGCAAGATAAACTTCATCGTTTGTAGCAATATACAACCACATTGCTGCCCAAACAAGCTCGTCGTTATATCTGGAAAAGTAGTAATATATCGCCAATGAGTAATTTTATAGACAAGTGAAAGACTAGAAGCAGAAATTTTTAGAGAGTAAACCGCTTGCATATTATTTAAATATATATTTTCTCGCGCGCAGCACCTTCAAATACCGTTAGCATGACTTAGAAAATAAAGTAGTTGCAGATTCAGATACTTTATTTTTATCATGCAAGAATATCATAGAAAGTTGCAAGTTTCCCACATCGCTGCCTTTCAAGATATATCATATAAATATTATACCATTAATATTCTGCTAAATAATTGATCAATGAATTGAAAGATTGAATAATCAGACGCCAATATCAATGTATCATTACTAAATTGATATTTCTTATAATTATTTTGGATGGTGGCTGAGGAGATAATATCTTATGAAACATAGAATAACTGAAATGTCTTCAGTCTGAAATAGAAAAGTGATCTTACCCAGAAGATGGATAAAAGTTTGCAGCAGCACGAATCGACATATGATAAACTCCTCTGTATTTGTCAGCAAACTGAAATAACTCTTTTGCATGTTTTATTAGTGACTGAACATATGGATCGGCTGAAATCAGAAAGTTTGTGTTATACAAAATCGGAATATGCTGAAGTGAGGAGTCTTCAATCTATATGGTCACAAAATTATACCAGAGTTATTTGGCCAAATTCGAAATAAACCTGAAAATCAGAACAATGTCGCAAATTTGTTGTACTTAATTTGCGTGTAATTATTATACAAATATTGTTTTGCTAAACTTTTATCATTATCTAATCAACCTCACTTTCATTACTCCCGCTTTCAATCCATACTGCAGCCGTTGCAGCGAGAGCGGCGGCCGTTTCCGCCGCCAGATCTGTTCCTGGACTTCTGCCAGTTATCGAATAACACGGACGTTGTACTCCACCCATATTTTGAGGTCGGGTCCATTCTTCATTTTCGTATATAGGATCGCCTACCTGAAATAAGGAACATAAAATGAGAGCGTGTTTGAATCATCGAATCAATTATATTGACGAATACGTACGTTTGCAAGTTAGAAGAATAGAGGCATAAAATGAAACAATCTTTAAGCGAATCAACATGGCTATTGGCAATGCAGGAATATATGATTAGGAAGTGATCGGATAAATGGGCGCTATCGCTAAAATCGTACATCGGAAAATACAAGTAAAGGCGCAATTTTCTTAAGTTCAAAAAAATTCGAGTGCATGGACTCACTTGGCCATAAAATTCAAATTGTCCAGTATGTGCTTTGATGAAGTAGTCAGCAGCCCATTTTAAAGTATCTTTGAGAAATTTTGTCTGCCAACTGGCTTCGTAGGCGTCTTTTGCTTCAAGATAACTCCAGGCCAATTGCGTCATAGAAAATGCCGTAGGGAAGCCAAATTTCACGTAGTCGCCAGCTGAAATTGAATGCGTAATATTTCAACAAAATAACAATTGAACGTGTAAATTAACTTAAGGCGCCACTGCGCCTAATTCAATAAAAAAAAGTTCTTAATATAAATCTTCAATTACTAATGAAAGAATAACTAACAGTGATAATATCCTCCTGATAAATCTTTGTTGCATTCAGACCCATCCTTTGTATGAGCACTCGCTCTCCATGAAATACGACCATTGCGAGGTAAATTTCCCGATCGCTGAGCTTCAAAAAATAGATGCGAATTGTGAATGATCTAAAACATATATAAAAGTCAAATTGAAGCAGTTTTACAAGTATATTAGAGATTAAAATTTAGACGATGAAATCATTATTTGAGAGTGTCTCCAGGCAACCCAACATTTTGATATGACAGGTTTTCCATTTGCTTTAAAACTTACAGTTTTATCAGGGTTGCGTATATTAATTTCAACAAAATATACCTTAGCATAGTCATAAGAATTGCGTGGAGCAAATATCGGGCGTTCTGCATCTCCGTCTTTAGAAAATCCTTCAGGAATATACGCAGGAGTTGGCGATGTTATCAGGCTTTTTGTTGTTGTTAACACCACCGGCTCAGTTCTTGATTGATCTGTAATCGGACATTAAAACATATTGTAAATAATACTATGTAACTACTATCAGAATATCATTTCTTTATTTAGGGTAGTTATGATGAATGTCACAGCCGAATAAATGAATATTTTTTGTGTTTTTGTAGAACAAAAAAATTATGATACATTTTATGAACGAACGAAAAACGAATATTTCAGGGAACGTTTGATGGTGGGTTGGAACAGGCATCTGAATATGATGATTGTATTTGTGCCAACGCCACGTTTTCATTTCCGCCAATTCGAGTGAGTGAGGTAATGATCTTCTATATTCTATAAGGTATGCTCTGCAGTCCGGAATCAATATAACTTACAAACCTCCCTCGAAGCAATTCAATGTATGGGCGTTCTCAAACTTCACTAAAGTTGTTCCCAGTTTTACTCCGCTTCTGGTGTCAACACACCAGCAATAGTGACCAGTTCTTGTCGCCAGTTTTGCCTTCCGACATTGTACTGCTTTGAATCTATCTCCATCACATTGAGGTACAAAACATCGCTTCATCGGTCTTCTTTTCTTTTTGCAAATCCTTTTTCGTTCTGCGATGGACTCAACGCAGTTGATAGCTGTAGAGAAAATAATGAATAGAAAGAAGTCAAATACATAAGTATTTAACTAATTGTTTTATTTGACTAGAAAAAAATACTTTATCATTAATTAGTCGCGTCAAAATCACTGCGATTAGAGGTAATTTCGGAGAAAAATTTATTATCTTACCCGCCAATGTCGGTTTAGGAGGAGTCGTCGATGTTTTATGAGCGAATTTCCACCAAGTCTTAGTAGTAGTTGAAAGTAATGGTGTAGTGGGTGGCTTAGAAGTGGTTATAGTTTTATCAGTGGAAATGAACCTAAAATAACGATTAGATGAGAATTTGAAAACACAAAATTTATAATTATTGTTAGAATAAATTTGATTTGAAATTTGCCAACCATTATTACATCATGATTTTAAAGTTTTTATTTCTCGCACATTTGAGGTTTTAAAAATCCCATTTGGCAACAAAGTAAACAAGATATTAGAGTCGGGAGACACATCACACGTCTTTTCAAAAGATCAATTTCTACAAAATTCAAATCTAGAACAAAACAGTTTTAAGCGAGCGCAGTCCGCATTTATGAATCCTCACTCACCACCACTTTCCCCGGCCGCTAAATTGATTGTATTTCTCTTCGTCGCCACTATTTTGGAATGGATTGAATGTTGTAGTGGTAGGTACCGTAGTTGTTGTGGGTTCCCTTGTGCTAACTGGAATTGTTGAGTAGCCCATCTCACGGAAGTACTTCGAACGTGGCTTGGTATACTTGAAAAAAATTAAAATTCAGTTTATGTTGATATTTATGGAATATTTTAGTTATTAATTTAGATTATCCTGAGCGTTGAAAGTAACTTTTATTCAAGTTTTTTGGTTGGATTAAATGACATCCGGGTATGTATTAAGAAGGTAACATTGTACAACGTCAAAAAACGTAATTATTATGGCTGTTAATTTTCGTACAATTTAGTATATTCTTCAACTATTATAATATAAACATATACCAGCACTCAATAACTATTTACCGAATCCATTTGAATATTGTTTGTAAATTCTATGTAATATGCTTATTTCTTTTCCGTTTCATGAAATCTAAAAACACTGTACTTGCATGCATTTAACGCATATACATTCATACCCATGTGTAATTGACTACTTTCATTTCATGTTCGTAATCAATGGTTCGATTTGGCATGAATACTTTGTCAAGAAAAACTATATCAGGTTTAGGTCCTGAATATCCGTTGTAATCAATTCCTGGAGTGATGTTGAAGCGAAGAAGAAGGCTGTAATGGCATAACAACAAAACGTTATATAAAAAGTAAAATACTCGGGGCATCTTAGTACTCGATTTCGTGCTGCTTATGTATTACACACATACCGCTGTTCATTAATCATTCCGGGCCACAGATGTCCATTCCACTGTTTCTGTTTCAGATAAACAACACGACCATCTGGACTGAGTTCTATGAAGGTTCCCTGCCATAACTAGAATTCAAGTGGAAAACTGAGCCACCGTACCAATATTAAACGATAAGTTCAGGTTATATTGTACGACTCGCAAATAAGACACCCAAAATATGACTACTTGCTATCTATTCAAACCTGTCTACGGACGGAAATATCTGACTGAAACATGACAAATTTGAAGTTTTTGTATGAAAATTTAAAATCCATGATTTATTTTGTAAATTAATATAATTTTCATGATTTTTATTGTCATATGTATGATGTCAGGATGGCAAAAATTCTTTATTTCATAAACTCTATAACAGGCTACTGCTTTACCATACCGTAATGTTATATATTCTTTCTGGAAATAGAAGTGCCATCGTCCAACTTGGAATTTCTATGTGAACTGGTACTCTGAATTTTGCAATATATCCCCCGTCGAATTCAGATAGCCATGAATACTCCATCTATGATAAAAGAAGAGGACTTTCATATGTATCACGGGCAGAGAGAAGCGCATGAAGCGGCCTAATCTAATAGCGAATTACGGTCTCTCGTCCGGTTACCATTCCATGTCGTATACGGGGATAGTTAGCCCGTGATTTGATTTAGATCCATGACATAGTAACCCACAGGTGGTTGCTTGCAGCACCCCACTACTATGAGTATTCCAAAGGTCTTCTCGCACATCATTAGCCCCACGGGGTTTTCATTTGTAAATCACACGGCGCAATAAGATGTACGGTGACAAGCGTACTTCAAACGTTTAGCGCGATGTTCCAACCGCTTGGATTTTACATTCTATTGGAGTTTACAATTTAATAATTTACGAATATAAACTAAACTAACTCTTGGCTGGTTCCAGACGAAATTTATTTACAGATATGGACTACTCTTAAATTTTGACGACCCAAATGGGTCCCACCCGCGCATCGATCCATTATGATGAGGTGTGACAATTTACGCAAATACCTCCATTTTTATGGGGTATTTCAATTGAATCAAATATTCTTTTATGGTAATCATATAACGCAGATTTTCGGAGTTACGACAAATATGACGATATAAATGAGATTAAAGACGAGCAGGGCTGAATGTTACTGTCATCAGTACTTTTGTTAATCCGTCACTTTTTATGATATTATATTAGAAGTTAATGACGTCAATGACTCTAGCATCAGAAATTTGAAATGGTACTGGCTTTGTCATTCGAAGTTTACTATAATAATTACGTTACGTAATACGGATTCATTCGAAAATATTTTTAGTCCTCGGAACAAGTTTGGTGAGAGATACAATCAGCTTGTGTAGAGTAAGTCACGCGGACACTTTGTGTCATGTGTCATGAAGCCTGTAGGCACATGACACAAAATGTCCGCGTGACTTACCCAAAATAAATGTTTTCAAGTGAAAACAGGCTAGCAGTGACAAGTATAAGGCATTCAAAACTGATTCGTCTTCGGACCAAAGAACGTTTTGTTAAATTTTATAGGGCTATGCGTAGTAGTGGGATTCAGCCGGTTCTATAGAACCGTCTCACAGAATTTTATGAGATCAGCGAACCGGTTGGCATTACTGTACTGAAAAAACATGACTTTTTGTAACAGAACCGGCTGAAAATATGACATTTGTGTGATGAAACCGGCTGACAAAGAATTTGAATCTCACCACTGCCTAATGTTGACAAGTAACATATATATTAATGATAAATAAGTTGATCAAACCAGTTATTGCTCAATACCTGACGACCAGTGGCATTAGAACATGAAATGAAACCTGGAATAGCGCCCGAAATGACAAATACTATTTACAAATGCGAAAAAAAACAATTTCTCCGCCTAAAAATCAATAAGCCTACTGTATCTTCAACGTAACTTTGAACCCGACGTTTCTCTAATGGTTATTTGGATATTGATGCCAAAAACTATAATTTATCTTGCATTTCACACATTTATATAAATGGAAAACATATTATCTTACCTTGAATGTTGGCTTTGGCATTTTCTTCTTTTTCTCACTACTGGCAACATTAAGTCTCGCGAAACTGAGTAAACAAAGTACAAAAAAGATTTCTGACAATGAAAACTTCATGGATTTTGCAAAACTTCTGACCTGTGGCTCAAAATTGAACGTGCTGCGTTCACTTGATAATTGTGACATTTATTACCATTACCACGGCACACAGACATATTTATTATAACAATAAATGCCTCGGGCAATTAAAGCGCTCTTCATATTCTACCAGTTCAAAACACAAATATTTTAGAAGAAATTAATACCAATTAATGTAACAAACAAATATGCAATTGCAAAGATAGTTTTCTATCCGACTTTTATAAATTTAGGACACAGTTTTCTAACTAACGCAAAAATATCACATACATTTATAAAAAGTTTGCGCATTCAATTTAGTTACTTACCTGTCGATGAAAACGATTAGCAGAGAGTTTGTAAGGCTTCACAGAAATGTTCCTGTGGGATGCGGTTGCCCCTTCGAGTAATTACCTGTCCGGGACGGGAACGAGAATAGCCTGTCAGTTTATCTCCCAACAGTTACCGACGAACTTGGGTGGGGGTGGAAGCCGTGAATCAGCTACGTGAATTAGCCTACGTGAGGCCAGTAGGAGATCCTCGTAGGCTACTCACATTTCCACGAGATTGAAATCGAAGTAACTGGAGCGAAGTTGGAACGATGCACCAGCTGTCAAGGCAAGATGCGCGATGGGGAGAGGGTTATATATGCGCGAATGTTGTATATTGGTCATTTGAAATATTCCCACTCTCTCCCATTCATATTTGTAGGGTCCCATTCTGTATCCCAGACTGAGGTAATGCCGTAATGCATAATATGATCAAGCCCGCGGGATCTGACCTCACCGATGACCGAATATCCTGCCACTATAACCACATTCTTCGCAACGATGCAAAACAACCGTGGAATGTTGGACTGCTTGATCTTGGCTGATTGATCCGATTCCGATCGTATCAAGTCTTTAATGAATGTATCAACTCATCGATCGAGCTCATTTGTAGATTGAGAAGATTAGCGCATTCGGTTTTGGCAGCTGTTGGTATGCACGTGATATGCGAACACAATAATTGAAGTGTCACGTAAAATCGCCTAGCCTGTTATATAAAGTTGGTTTCTTGCACCAATGTCTGTAGTGACTGATTGACGATGACTTCGTGCGATTATTAGATTAGGTTCTGTAGTGTTGCTTAAATCTGTAAGTTGCTGTATACAGCACTCCGATGAATTTCAGATACACAGATTTGTGTATCTACAATTCATCGGAGTGCTATATCTATATACTGATATAGTTCCCTATAATCAAATATTACTGCGCTGCCGGACTGATATGTCGGTTGCCCATCTGTCCCAGTATTCAGGTGTTGTATCATGTGAGGTTCTACTTTCTGACTTTCACTTTGTAGCATTATTGCAGTATTGACAAGAAATAAAATTTCCGAATTGTCAAACACTTGGTATTAGAAATAAACAAAAATAATTGTTGATGCTTGGGTTAGATCAATATTAGTTTTGAATACAATTCTTTAATACCTTGTTATTGTTGTTTCATGACTTGAACTTGAATATTATTTGAGTTGTTATGGGGAGTGGAAAACTGATGAGATTGAGAAAACCAGGAGGATTGTTGAAAATAAACTTTACTCCTGAATCTGTAAATGATTATGAGCAGATAGATTTGAAAATAATGAAGGCTATGTTACACTGCACGGAAATTTCAATGTTTAAATAAAAGTAAATAAATAGCTGAAAACGGTACCTTGTGTGTATATATACTGAAATAGCAGTACAACGCTGAAAATTTTAATTTGTTACTTTTAGCTTTTTCAAATATTTCACTATGACATTATCATTATAAAAGTTATGTATTTTAAAAATTGGTTCATTTATTATGCAAATTTTCTTCTTTTCTTGAATCTGTATATCCTAATTTGGAATATCATATTTAATGAAAATAGTAATTCTCTTTGTATCAGAATGTGGTAATGAAAAACAAATTGTTTTTAGTTCTAGTTAGTGTTGTAGGTTTCTGTTTCGCTTGTTTCATTCAGCACTTCATCATGGTTAGTATTCTATCTTTAGTTAGTTTTTACCTTACTATTCAATTATGCATGCAATAACCAATAATTATGATCATTTGACAATTTGTTCTGCACAAAGAGTACTCTTCATTTATGATCAGGCGATTTTTGTTAAAAGTTTTTTATTGGTGTATTTCATTTATGGGCCTCACGTGCTTGTATATGGTAAAACCATATAATCCATTTTATGAAAAAATGTAGTAAGCCTATTCTTTATCCCCTGCCATAAATTATATAATTTGTGGATGTAAGTATGTGTGGTACTATTGCACACTCATCGCTATATACAAATCTCAGTTGATTGCACATATCAATCACCGTATGTTTCTTGCACCACACCTCTTTTTTCCTCTCCATTTATTTCCTATTTCTTTTTCTTCTTGAGGACATCTTCATAATAATTTTACTTTTGATACCTATATCCTATTGAAATAAGTTCTGGAAGTATGTTTTCTTGGGACCTTTCTCGTTTTCTTATTTTAAATATCTTTATTTTTATATGTAATAATAGAATGGATGTACCATAAAACATTTATAACGTGAATGCCATATTAAGACAACTATGGTGCTAGCCAGATTATTTACTGGGTCATTAAGATCAAAGTCTTTGATTCTTGGCCTATCTTCTTCTTCTGGAATTCTTTTCTCTGTTTGCCACCAATCCACATTGGTGAGTTTCATTTGAAATCAGTTTTTGTATTATTAAAGTTTTGTTTCATTTGTGAAATGTTATTGTTTAATAAAACATAATAAGTATTCTTGATCTATATATTGACTCAGCAGGGATAAATGTTCCATCTATGGTGTATGAAAGTTCATTGAAGCAATACCCATAATCATCTGCAATACACTGTTTATTATGTCACTAAAATCACAGTGACATGACAAAATTACAATAATTTCAGCCTCAGTTGCAATAACGTAATGATTGATAAACCATTCATGCATGTTTTAATTTATTTTTTATTTCCTTGGGTTGGTGTGAACCATGTAATTCATTGCATGCGTTTTGGGAAATTTCACTATTTTTGGGTAATAAAATTTATAGGTAATAAGAATGCCACAAAAAGTTGTTATTTGTTACAAGCCAATCTCACCAAGCATTTGCTGTTTAACACTAATGAAATGTAGTATGACATAGACAAAACTACTATGTAAGAAATGAGCATAAACAGTTGGGACATCATTTGTGTTTTGAAAAAAACTTTTCTTTAGAGACAATTATCTTCAACATAAGCATAAAAATTGTTTAATAGAATTGAATTAACATCAATAGTTTTATTATCACCTATTTTGTGATAAACAGTAAATAAAGCAAAGCTGGGGGATAAGCAGCTACCTATCAGATATAAATGACTTGTATCTGAATTTTTTTTTGTACAATGATTGTCAGCAATCCCCGCTCCATTCATCATCATAATAATTATGGGTACTTTAATACATTTATAATTTTTCAGTCTGCTGAAAGCAAAAATGACAAAGATTGGAAAAATGCAAAAACGATTTATGATTTCACAATGATGGATATTGATGGGAAAGAAGTTTCATTTGAAAAATATAGGTTAGATATATAACTTTTGAAACTTTGCTGAAAGGCCCATTTGTTTATTTAGTCATAGTGTAGTACTATAGTGTACCTGAAATTTGATTATGCATATGTTGCAAGCTAATTTATTCTTTGTATGTATCTGTGAAAGGGGGAAACGCCCTTTTTATTTATATATACTATATATATTTTTTGTAATATGTCATGAATATCGGATACGAGGATACCAAATGATGAATGAACTTTCTTTCAATGTCGCATATTTTCAGGGATAAAGTATGCTTGGTTGTCAATGTTGCCTCTAAATGAGGCATGACAAAAGCCAACTATATTCAGTTGGAACAACTTTACGAAAAGTACTCATCTCAAGGATTAAGCATAATGGCTTTTCCGTGTAATCAATTTGCAAGTCAGGTAGGTCTTAAACAAATATTGACTTTGTTCCGTAACTCTACTGGCCACCACCCAACTGTTTGCGGATGTGTTGAGAGGCATGAGTCAGCATTGAATACAAACACCATGACTTGCATTGTAATATTAAAAATTGTGCAAAGGAAGCTGTTTTAAATGTAGTTCTTCTATTGCATTCTGGATTTATAAATTCCATCTCAATTTGAAACATGATTTTATCTGTGACTTTTTACTATTGGGTAACAGATAGAGATGAAGTAGGGCTAAGATATCTTATTAGACTTGGATATATTAGATAAAGATGTTTCTTATAAATAAAAATGAAAAAATTACTATATTCACTGAATAAAATCATGTCAATTTATATCAAATTTCAAGGAAATGAAATATAAAATTTGCGGAAAAATAATTCTTTTACAACATCAGGAATGACTATATGGCAGAGGAACTTAGAAAAACTGAAATAATTTAGTTCAATTTATACAAAATTCGATACGAATGCTTGGCTGCCTCAATCCAATTCTTCTTGTAGTAATTTTTCTGACACTCCTTGCTTGAAAATTGCAAATACATGTAATGTTTACCGAGTAAAAAAACTGATATCTGTATATTAAATATATTGTATGCGCTGTATTGGATCATATTATGATTGTGTCATTGTACTTTAGGAACCAGGAACAAATGAAGAAATCAAACATTTTGCCCAGGATAATTACAATGCAAAATATGATCTATATGCCAAAATAAATGTCAACGGTGACGGTGCTGCTCCTTTTTTCAAGTGGCTGAAGAGCCGTAAACATGGAAAAGGAACATTGACAAAGTATGCTTAGATCAGTGTTTTAAATCAGGCCAGATTTCATTGATTTAAAAGCAGAGGGTCAATACTTTCAGTTTGTTTTTAAATGGTTGTTTATATTTACGCGGATTTGGTGTTCAATGGGACAAATAAATATGCATTCACACACAATTCCATCTCACTTTTCATGCATATCCAGTTTTTGAGTTTTTTGTATACATTCTTCATCATATGAGGCAAATAGATCTTATTCAAATTTGAAAGGGGCTGAGATTTCTTTGAAAGTCATAACTTTTTACTTTCAAACCTCTTTACAATGCTATATTTACAGTTCAATCAAATGGAATTTTTCAAAGTTTTTGATTGATAGACAAGGAGAAGTTGCCGATCGGTTTGCCCCAAACACTGAACCTATGGTGAGTTTAATTGTGTAATAAATTAGTTGTCAGCACTGCAACGGTAAAAGAATACAAGTCTGAATAAATTATTGTCAAATATTATAATCTCTTATTTTGATCTTATTTTTAATCGCAAGAATTTTCATGTCTCTCTAAAAACTGTCACTGTCACTGTCAAGGCTGTACAATGTGTGTATTTATTCAAAGTATGTTTTATTTCAGTCTAAAGACATCACTGGGAAAATTGAGAAGCTGCTTTGAAAAGGCCTTGCTCGATCCAAGTATTAATTTGTGCCAATTTAATTGTTTGCATACCATAATCCACAACAGTGTGTTTCATATTTAGGATGCTGCCTGTATTTATTTCAGCTGATGGTGTTTTCTGCTTTATTTCCCCCTCATTTCGGTAAAATCTTAAGATATAGCTCTTTTTCAAATTATCACTTATGGTTTTCAGAAGACAAATAATATTTTTCGTCAACCCAGTATAATGCCACTGTTTGTTAGCTTTTGTTTTTCATTTCTACAGAAATGCTTCCTTTATAAGTTCTTTTTATCTGGTCATTTATAGCTATATGCTGCCACATTTATGACGAATTGTTTCAAAAACCAGTCATTGACAGGATGAAACAGTTTTGAGATGGCAAAAGAATGTGTCTGTAGGATTGCTGGGTTCCGAGTACTTTCCTGGCAATTCAACGATGCATTTATTAGCCTTGTGTTACATATATGCTAATTTGATCAAGATAGAAATAACTTATTCAATGATTGCTTATTTCCAATGCAAAGCATAATTAAAAAATAAACTGTGATTCACGAACAACCGATTGTAAAAAAAAATTCAGCACTTGTCTGCAGATTAGTTTTGGCAGATACCATGGAATCGGTCCCGTACCTGTGTGTTAGTCCTTGACTTTTTGGTTCAGATAAGTGATTTTGAGCCTTTCCACGCCTACAGATATGTTGTTAAACTTTCATATGAGGTTTAAAACTAATTACCCAGAAGAACTTAGGCACCACATGTTGCGGTAGTAATCTAGAATAGATCAGCGGATCCAATCTTTTCCTTTCTGTGGCGACAAATTAGCGGGGGGAGAAACTCTCGGCGCTTTACACTAACAAAAAATGCTGCTTTTAATAAAACTCAACTTCATGGTCGTTGATATGTACTTTATTTTTATGCCTCTTGAAGTTTGTAAACATGTAGGCCTAGAGAATAAGGGCAGAAAGTAAAACTCTTCTTCCCCGTCTCTGCCTAATATTTCTTGGAAATGCTAAAAAACCACTCATGCTCAATTCAGAAGATAAATAAACTGCAGCAAGTAGTGTCTATCTCTATTGTTTCCTAACAATAGAGGTAGACCCCGCGTAACAGAAAGTAAACGACATGGAAAGGTAAAATGAATTTATTGATTCATAAACATAGCATTTAAAATAGGAAACAATAAAATGTTTACAATATGTAAAATATTCAATCATGTATAACACAATTCTGTTCATTTTCGCGGTGTATCTTCTGGGAACCGCTGAACTAGAAGATTTAACATTATGGAGCTTCGTAGCCATGACTCGTTGCAATATGGTGCATCGTACTAAGCGTCGGGGAAATGGTTGCAAGTTGCAACCACACCCCCGATTACCATGTGCGGACTCCTCGCCGCCGTAAGGTTTTTCACGACCACGTGACCGCAGGTTGGTACAGCTTCTTCCGCCATCAAGTCCACGCATCTGGAAACACAAAGGAACATTGGCTAATAAACCTTGCTTACTTGGTCACGGACTGGTGACCGGATTATAGGCCGTGGTTCGCCATATATACTAATATAAATTTCCTCTCCCCCGGGATAAGCATTGCTTTGTTGTGGGACACGAAATGACCATATGGATGGTGAATGAGACGAAGTGGACAACCTTAACGGCATGGACGAGGATACCAGTATATTGGAAATTAAATTCCCGATCAGAAAATCGCGCTCGTACCGCGACAGGATGATGGTCAATTGCCGAAAGCAGTAGAAAGACCATCGCGTCACCCTTCAGGCATCTCCCAACATATCATGCTCACGATTATCACTGGAACTATAATCTCGTCATTGTGCATATGGGCCGAACAGTGGTATGTTATGTAATAAAAAATGTATGCTTGTTGTTTTCTTTTTAGTTTTGTTCATTCACTAAGCAAAACGGCAGCTAATCACTTAGTTGTTAAAATTGGCTCGCATTTCGGCACACGCACCGTCATGTGTTTCGCGTTCTAACTGTTTTTGTATACTCTTCACCACATGTGCTCACCAATTTTTTTTTACAAATAAGCTTTTCCTGGGAATTTTATTTTATCGTGCTCACGTATGCTCAATAACTTTATTCTTTCCCTTCTGTAAAATTTTGTGATGTTTTTGTCACTTGTGTGAGTGTGGGTCAACGGTCACGAACCTCTCTCAAGGCTTTGCCCATTTTCTTGATCTTTTCGTCGCTCTTTTACATTTTTATTTTTTTGTTTGTGTTCTGTGTTGTAAACGAAAGGTCGAAATAAAATTGTATTGTATGTAGAGAGCAGCCCATTAGGAACAGCGCATTTCGAACAGCGAGATCGGGGCGCATTGGGAATGGCGCATTATCAACAATGAGGGTGCACTGGCAATAGCGCATTATTAACAATGAGGGCGCACTGTGAACAATGTACGGTCGCATTAGAAATGGAACATTATCAACAACGAGGGCGCATTAACAAAGAATGAAACAATATTCATAAATCATCCATATTACTAATGTTTATGAAATCTATAACGACTCGGACTCGATTTGAGAATATGGGCAGCAGTGATTCGACTTGATTTGGGAGGGACTCGAATTGGCTGGAACTCGGACTGGTGATGTGTCACTGCACTTTGAGATTTTCTTTTTGGCGTGATCATTCAATAAAGATTTGGGGATATATACTATATAGCAGGGCTACTCAACTATTTTTACCAAAGGTCCATTCAGAAAACTTCAAACTTACTGGGGTCCGGACATTACAGAAAATTCATTTCATTAAATAAACGAAACTTCAAATACAATATTAAATTAGATACAAGAGCAATGAATAACTCACAAATATATATGGATACAAATGTCGCACATCAGTATCAGTACAACAAACTGTATAGTTGTGTATGAAAATGGTATCAAATATCATCTAAAACTATAAAACGAGGCTTATGCTGCCAAAATAAATAAGCAGACGGTCCAAATTGAATGGTCGAAAGATCCGGATTCGGACCGGAGAATTACATGAAGAATTACAACAATCATGAAGAGTTTACAAAAAATAAAATAATTTTTTTATTAGACACAGACCGGGAGCAAAAATGGAAAATAGGGACAAGAAAATAATATCATCAAAGATTCAGTAATATAGAGCATGACGTGAAAGTATTATTTGACACCTCAATTGGTTAATATAATAACTCGCTAAAAGGACTCACCAAGAAAATGGTAACAATCACTGAATTTTGAATTTTAACAACATAAAAAGGTTATTAAATCAATTTACGAAAATGGAGCAAAAAAAACAGTAACAATCACTCAATATTGTATAGTGGCTACCACAACATTCACAGGTATTTATACATAATTGTAAAAGAAATGTTATATTAATGTATGACCCACAATTGAATATTCAGGCATCTCTTATTACACAATGAATATTAACAATATAAAGAGGTTATATTCGGGATTGTTTACAAATCATTCTCTTATATGTATATTTATGTATAACCGTAAATATATACTACTACGTATAACTTAACTTATCTCACCAGTGGTGCTCTTTATATTCATTTTTATATTTTATGAAAATGATGGACTTCATCTCTGCATTGTATTTTCATGTAATTCACATTTCTCATTTGTTATTCAATTGTCTCATATCTTACTTTTGACATTCCTTTGCAAAGAAAAAATTGAATATTATAAAATTCTAGAATGTTCTACATTTATATTTAGTCATCTGAATTTGTGAATCTTAAACATTATAGTGTGAGGGGCGAGTTGACCTTGATGACCGCCGGGTCGTATCACTCCCTCCTGTCTATACCAGATTATTTTATTGTTATTATTGGACACGTAGTGGACATAACGATCGTTTCAATATTATGTTGTTGTTGTTGTTCTTGTTCTTGTTCTTGTTCTTGTTCTTGTTCTTTGACACGTTTTTAAAAAGTCGCTTTTCTCTTTGATTACTGGACTAATTGCTTTGAAATTTTCAGTGGTTGAAGATGAAATTTTTCTCCAGAAGGCTATTACTTTTATTTATTTCAAATATTTCTGTTAGCTCTGTAAGATTTGTTTTTGTTTGCTATGACGTCACTAAACGTTCTCCGGATATCGGACGCCATTTTGTGTCCAACGGACCATCTTGCAATTTCAATTCACGCTGTCACAAGACAGGACCTTCTAAAGATAGAGAAGTTCTGGTACCGTAACACAGCGCGGTGACACTGAACTAACTCGTAGCTGTCAAAAGCTTGAAAATCCATACAAATATGAGAAATAAAAAGATGAAACTTGGCAGGTGGGTAGAGTTGTGTTTCTTTTAACCATATTTGAAAATTTCGCGTTTCTACATTTGAAGGAGGGGGAATAGGGGGTGTGCATTTCCGATACGTCGATAATATCTTTGTCAACCAATTTGCGACCACCGTGTTTTCGTCTGTTTGATTGCTGTGATGTGGTGCTTTGTTTATAATTTAACGAGTTTTGTTCGAAATAACCGTGTTCTTGAAATATATGACGGTAAGAAATGCAATTAGAAGCCCAATGTTTTCACGCTGTCACAAGACCAACAATTGTCAACCAATTTGCGACAACCGTGTTTTGTCTGTTTGATTGCTGTATGGCTGCGTATGCGATAGTCTCGACGCAGCATAAACGGTGATCAAGGCTTGAAATCCGTGGTCGCACACTGGTCGGTCGCAAATACGTCTTTCGAGTGCCGTATTTTGGGGATGTGTATAGCTTCAACCCTTTGTCGTAGAAAGTTAATACGATGTTTAGCGTGTAGAATAAATGCCGCCAATGCACACACGGTGAAAAAATTAACGGGTTAGATATATTGGTTTTTGTTTTATAGCGGTTTGAATGAAATTGTCCACAGACTGGCTACACCACCCTAGGCCTGGTGAGTTGTCCGTGTAGTCGAATTGTCCATCAGCCCTAAACGGCTATGACAGTCACTGTACCAAAAATTGTACCCCGATTCGGCTGGTGTTAAGTTGACGCATGTTATTTAGCAACGTTTTTATGTGAAATGTTTGACTGTGGTTCGGTACCTGATCCGATAATACGGTACATAATTGACTCATATCACGAGATATTTCAACTGATGTTTCAATTGTCACAGGACCTAAAATATCTATGACAGTCCCTGTACCGTCACGGTACCCCGATACAGGTACTGGTAAGTCACCGCCGGTATGTTAGTCGTTGGTCACCGCATATGATTTTTGGGGAATTGTTCTGCGTGTCCATATATTTGAGCATTGCTCTCTTGTAATCACTCTGATCCAGGGGTCTCAAACTCGCGGCCCGCAGGATGATAGTTTGTGGCCCCCGCCTTGGTATTAAAGTTTAATGTTAGTGCGGCCCGCAAGTCACTTAGCTCAGCATGATTAATGCTTTCAATATAACAGCGCTTCCCATACTGTGTACCGCTGAACACTAATGTTCCGCCAGCATCTTCCGAGTGTTGCGTGGAAAAGGAATCAGAAGTTGTTGCCCAACTGACCGTTTAAAATTGCGTCACCGTTGGCCTAAAGTGGACTAACTAAGTTAGGGTAGTTG